TGTTAGATGTTTATCAAAGGAATACCAATACAAAATGTCAACAATTTCGGCCTATTAGAACAAGTTTTGTGGCATTTTGTCCCATTAACGTCATATTTTTTCTTCAAATTGTGTTAAATTTAGTTATTAAACAAGGCTGTACAGTTCAAAACTAAATTACAATACAATACACAAACCAGGTTCAATGCCCACAATAAATACAATACGCTAAATATGCACACCAAGACAGTGAGAAGAGTGGAAGTCCTGAGTAGGTTAAAGGAGAATTACACAGATTTTTAAAAATGTCTGCATAATTCAGTGGCTCAGATTCCGAGTCAACAAAGTCATTCAGAGTGGTTTGATGTGAAATAGTTTGTAGGGAAACTTACTGACTTAGATTTCTTTACAGTGATGGTGATGGGAACCAGGGGTCGCAATGTATACAATGCACATGTTACCATTTTATTTGCTATCCAAAATGACCATTGAACCTACACGTTTTCTGAGTTTTTATATGTAATGTTAACCCTCTACTGCACGGTGTTGCCATATGGCAACAATTACTTTATCTCAATTTTACTAAAAAGCAGTAATATAAAATCTGGGTTTTCCTATTTAATTGTGGAAAAAGGGTCTTTTACTTTAAAAGGACAGATACTTTATGACATCACATGACCAGGTATTCTTATTATGATGTTGTTATTACCATACATTTAAAATTCCAATTGAAATTGTATTCATTTCCAATATTTGTAAATATTAGGTTGTACATTTTGCTAAGTATAAGTTGGATTTGTTTGGTCTTGTTTTCAATAAAAACATATCCATCATCTAAACCGCTTATCCTTCTGGGTCGCGGTGGGGTGCTGGAGCCTATCCCAGCTGTCATTGGGCGGAAGGCAGGATACACCCTGGACAGGTCGCCAGTCCATCGCAGGGCAGACAGACAGACATACACATTCACACACTCACTCACACCTAGGGGCAATTTCAGCATGTCCAATGAGCCTGACTGCATGTTTTTGGACTGTGGGAGGAAACCGGAGTACCCGGAGGAAACCCACGCAGACACGGGGAGAACAGGCAAACTCCACACAGAAATGACCCTGGTCACCCAGCCGGGAATCGAACCCAGGCCATTCTTGCTGTGAGGCGACAGTGCCATGTTTCCATTATTTAAGCAATTTTAAATAAAAAATAAAAACACATTAAAACATTTGTATCATGTTTAAGCAATAATTCATGCAATACCACCACCATTATAAACAATGCAGATTCCATAAGTTTCTCTAGAACAAAAGATTTCAACTCAAATCCTGAATGACCTTGTTTACTTTTTAACCACTTAATTATGCAGAGAAATTTGAAAAATCTGTGGGATTCCCCTTTAAGGTGCCATACTGGAATCATTTCTCCAGAAAAGTACCAAAACACTTAATGGTCCCAACAGCACCATGACGATTAGCCTTGTAAATGGGGCAGGTTTATGGAGTGGAGGGTGAAGGGGGTGTAGGGGTCTACCTTTATAGAGTATTCCTGTATGTTAGTTGCCATGTGTGTTGCTTGCTATGAGGTTTAAAAACTGCATGTCAAAGGCTTCCAAATTTGCCTCATTCAACACGTAAATACATGGTGAGAACAGGAACACACTAAATGCACAGGCTGCACAGTAATCTGTAAGAAAGCAATGCAATGCAAGCCATGAAAAGCTTCGTAATGAGGATTGTAGTGGGCTTCCAGGGACCACCAATTAAAAAAAGTAAATACTTGGTTTACGCCCAGGTGCAGTCAGCATATGTACTCAAAGTGTGCTAATAAGTTGCATTTAACGTATAGTTTGCTTAAATTATCCATTGCGCACTAATGAAGGGAAACAAGCGATTACTCTGCAAACGTGTAATGGTTCTTTATGGTGTGTGTAGTGCTCTGAAGCATAGATGTACCACAGATATTACAGTCTGCCCTCAGGGCATGTCCGCTGAGGCGATTGTTCTTATGCGCACACCTGTGAAACCGCACTAACGCTGTAAACAGGCGAAGTGTGTTTATATGCGGGGAAAATGAACTGTGGCCTTCACATATGTAAACATTTTAGTGCTTTAATGTTGCTGAGGCCCAAACATGTCATGGGGAGCTACATGAATCACCAGTGTTTCCTGGTGCATGTGCATTCCCTGCTCATTTTCAGTGAACAACTCATGTGGATACGACCCTTTAATACTTTGTAATTCATTCTATAGTTTAAACATAACTGCTTGCATTTAGTATTATTTGATACAAGCAGTTATGTCACAGATTTGGTTGCATTCTGTCTGCTGGCCTGTAGTCTGCAAGCTGTGAACCTCTGGCCATACATTACAATGGGTACAGTTGCACGGAAGAAATGCAACTTCAATATAACTTTACATCCAGAATCATCAGTTAGTGATGTTAAAGAGTCCTTGATTTTTCCTCACTTTATTTTTCTCCCTGAGATCCACTTATGACATTTGGTTAATATATGAAAAAACAATTCATTTTTACATGACTATTTGTCAACCTTTCTTAATCCCTTACACTTAAACAGGCTGTTTTTGTTGCTGTTTCTTTGTTATTTTAAGACTGATATATGTAAACAAACTCAGTTCTGATTGGCTGCTCTGTATTGTCCCTATGGGCTGAAACACTTTTAATAACTTCAACATGAATGTGCGGGGCTATACGTCTGTTAGCCAAATACAATGTATATTTAAATGCACTATTTTTGTGACATCACAAAACAATGAATTCAAAATAGGCTGTGTTTTGGAACTTTAACAATGTTTACATACCACACCAGTCTCTGATTTGAAAAGAGTTAGGAATACAATATGGGCCCTTTACATATAAATATAATGAAGAATCTATACAAACAGTTGATGCTAAGTAAGGTTCTTCTGGCAACTGCACATGTGCATATCTCCACAGTGAGGTAGGGTTCTTTTCTGCTTTTGGCCTTAACTTACCTCTTTACAATGCCTCTTTTTATTGAAGGATGGGGCTTTCCCCATAAACAGATGTCAAGTTGAGCGTCACAAACTATCTCATTCATTTTACAACCAGTTAACTGTCTCCTCCTCCTTTATAATTTAAGGACTGTGGAGGAGCTAAATACATGCATATGGAATTAAATGCATTTTTGGTTGATTCTTCATCAAAAAGTCAATTCTTGGCATCAGTTTTACTCTTAGAACATTCTTCCTAAACTGTAAACTTAAATTAGTTGACTTTATTTTACAAAAATCATCCAAATGTATTGCCTCAAAAAAATTAAGAGAAGTTTCTTAACAGATTCAAACTTAAATAACTGTATATTGAGTTATTGTCACTTTCTAATTTTAGTCATCTGCATGTCTTTAGCAAGTAAGGTTAACTTTAACAGCCCAAACTTTTTAAATAGTTTCAACTGAGCTGAAAATACTCTACTTCTGCTAACTCTTGAATGAGTTAGGTTAACTTTTATCAGCTTGGTTATGTTAACCTCTCATTTAATTACCCGAAATTACATTCCTTTACTCAATAAAACTGGTCAAACTCATTACCTTAACCTTAACACAAAACACCATCATGGTGTTTTAATAATAATAATAATAATAATAATAATGTGTAAAATGCATCTAAACTTAATATGTAGCATGAAAATATGCTATAACACAAAAATAACATCATGATGCAAAAAGAATGAATGACAATTTTGAAAAATAAGAGTTAATTAACTGAGACTAACTCTGTTGCTATCTGTTGCTCTCTGGAAAGCCAGAGTAACAGAGTAAAATTGGCATTGTTTCCACTGCTGGATACAGCCCTGGGTGAGTAAAGGGATGACGTTTGATGCAACGTTTCTTCTAGACTGGTAAGTAAATGGGGGGGAACTTATCCAAATTAATTAGTCTTAGCTAGCTTTACCTAAAGGAGCAATTTGTACGATTTTTTTTTTAAAACACACAAAATTACCTAAAATTGTCAACAGAATGTGAAAAAATAGCCGTTATGACGTTATGTCGACACATATGTATTGTGTTGCAGAGAGATCTACTGAAGTAAGCATGCTAACCAGCTAGCCCCAGCCCTCTTGTCTTGTAATACCACTTTGTACCTCACTGTGGCGTTGTGTCTGCCAAAAGTCCAATATATGAGAGTAAAGAAGTAGCACTGCCTGGATAGAAACCACAAAGCAAAGAAGTGACATAAATAGAAGCAAACAAATGTTAAAATTGGAGTCGTTTCCACCGCTGGACGCAGCTCTTGGTGAGTAAAGAGATGAAGTTTAATGCTGAACATGCAACGTTTCTTCTAGACTGGTAAGTAAACACAGGGAGGAGTGAAGAGGAAAGAGGAGGGACTGTGTGGAGTATGAATTTGACAGGTTGCTTCATCTCACATATTACTCCTTTAGCTAAGTATCTAAGGCATTATACAAGAAATAGTAAGGATTTCCAGATTTGCAATAGTAAGTTTAACAAATAAGTAAGCCAAAAAAAATGCGGTGCAGTTTTAATTTACAGAGTGTAGCTAGCTTGTTTTGCTAGCTTACTTGAGTGTTAGCCGACTTCTTAATCAGCAAAAGTGGATTTTTATTAAGACAAAATGAATGTAGTGGCCCAAAGAGTTGCTCTGTGAAACTCTGGCTGGAGGTCAAGTCAGTTTTATCCTTCCCTGCTTCACATTATCTCTCCACACATCCTCACAATCCGGCAGCCTGCCATGCCGCTGCATCCGCGCCGAGCAGTGGGCGTGGTTTGTCGACCGGGGCGTGTTCGCTCCCCTTCCCCAAACCCCGCCCCTTTGACTTTTCTTCCCGGGCCGGAGTAAAAGCGTGCACCCGAAGCCCACCGCGCACTGAAGCCCACAACAAGTCCCCCCTCCCAACCCCAACCAAACCACCCCAATCACACACCCCCACGCCCACCCACCCACCCACCCTCCCCACTCACTCACCCACCCACCCACCCTCCTTTAACGCATTATGCACGTTGCGCGAGGACTCCGCTCGGCGCTCGAGACATGTAAAGCCGGCCGAAAGGAGCGCGGGCAGCAGCGGCCGTGGAGCTCTCCGTAGCTGGACGCCGGCAGGAGGGAATAAAAGAGGAGAGAAAAAGAAGAAGAAGCAACAGCAGAGGACGAGTGGAGGGGGCAAACCGACCATGCACGCGCTGCTCTGGGCTGTACTGTGCCTGCTGCCTGACCTGGCGCATGCAGTCGTCACGGCGGACTCGAGGAAAGGTGAGGGGACGAAAACTTTTGGTTTCTTCTGAAATGAATGAAAGAGTGCAGTGAGGGTTTGTGACGAGTGACAAGTCTCCGGGCTTTGGGGAAGGGCTCGTGAACGCACGCACCGCTGTCACGCTCTCTGTCCGGCGATGAATGAATGGACCGGTTCTTCTCTGTAAACCGCTCGAGACGACTTTCCTTTTGTAGCGTCCACACGGTCCAGTTATTCGACTAGGAGCTTTAACTGTAGCGCGTCGAGAACCGACTGAGTTCTCTTAACGTTCTCTTAGCTGGCTTCACTTTTCTGTTTGTTTGAGTCCCTTAGTTGAGTAGAACTATACACTCTTTAAAAGGCTGGTTCTTTAGTAAAGACAGTGGTTCTGTGTAGAACTATGAACGCTCAAAGAACCTTTTGCATGCTTAAACGATGGAGAATGTGTTGTGTGTGGTTCTATGTAGAGCCTTTTTGAAAGGGGTTCTATATAGCACCAAAAGAGGTTCTACTATTGTTACGATGTCAAGCTTGATAACACATTCTCCATCAGTCTGAAGAGCCATTTCACTATGCAAAGAACCGTTTAAGCATGCAAATGGTTCTTTTGAGTGTTAATGGTTCTATGTAGAGCTATTGTCTTTACTAAAGTACCCTTGAAGAACCAGAGCGCATATCAGGCTCAGCTGAATGGAGATGAGGAGAAAGTTTGACTTAACTAACCGACTGAATCACGAACAGGCTGAAGGTCGATTCATTGAATCTGGTTTTGAAAGACTCAATTGGCTAAAAGTGAGCAGAAGGTGGAGAAACCAGACTGGCTGGCTCAATTGAGCCTCATTTACGTGGAGCAGAGGAGCACAAAGCTAGCCTGACTTGTTAATCAGTGAGCTTTCGAATTTCATGTTTGGTTCTTTGGAAAGAATCAGTTTGCTGGACTGTTCTTAGAGAGAGGAGTGAGTAGTAGTGGTGCACTCGGTGAGCCGAATCTCATTGCATGAGTTGACTGAACTAATCATTATGGCCCCCTCGGCTCAGCTTAGAAGTGAAGTACTGATTCAGCTGACAGACAGAAGGAACATGTAAACGAGTTTGATTCCTTTGGTACATCAAAGTCACTCGCAGAATTTGACCTCAATGAGAATAAAGCTGCGAATCAATGTATCGATTCATTCATTCATTCTTGTGCGATTCTCTCAGTGACAGTTCCAAAGATTCGAGTCCCGTCACTGTATAACGTACTGCAGACTGTCTGTTGTTGCCCCGTGTTAACGTTGAGTGTCGGTGTGTTTGGCTCCGTTCAGCAGCCCCATCGCACCCGCAGCTTGGCGCCTATCAAATCGTGACTCCCGCGCGCGTGGACGAGGCCGGCGAGCCGCTGCCCGCGAGCGCGCACTTCAAACGCAGGAGGAGGAGCGTCGAGGCGCCTGGAGAGCACGAGCACTGGATCACGGAGCGCGTGCACTACCGCATCGCCGCCTTCGGCCAGGACTACCGCCTCAACCTGACGCTGGACAGCAGCTTCCTGGCGCCCGCCTACAGCGTCACAGTGCTCGGCTTGGGCGGCGGACGGAACTTCACGGAGGAAGAGGAGGAAGAGGAGGAGGAGACGGCGTACGAGCACTGCTTTTACCGGGGACACGTGAATGCGCACGCGGAGCACACTGCTGTGATCAGCCTGTGCTCCGGTCTGGTGAGTGCAAACTTTTGGGAACTTTGTGACATTGTGTTTGGTACTGTGGGGCAGCTTGTTAGTCATTATGGAGCAGTGTGTTTGGGTGATGTGGGACAGTGTGTTTAGGCGATGAGGGCCAGAGTGTTCGGTAATGAGGCCATGTTTTAGATGTTATGGGACAGTGTGCTTGTGGGACAGTGCAATATGGGACAGTGTGTAATATGGTCCTATGGGACTGTTAGGTAATACAGTGGCTTTGGTAATAGAACACTGTATTAGGCAATATGTAATATGGTCATATGGGGTGTTGCGTTAGGTCATTTGTATTATGGTATTATGGTACAATGCATTTAGTATTATGGGGCAGTGTGTTTCATATAATGGAACAGTGTGTTGGGTCATAGAATACGGTGTGTTTGGTAATGTGGAATAGTGTGTTATCGTTACATGTGACAGTGTGTTTGGGGGACAGTGCATGCCCCAATATGGGACATTGTGTAATATTATTGTGTATAATATGGGACAGTGCCTTTGGTAGTAGAGCACTGTGTTTGGTAATATGGGGCAGTTTATTAGTTATTTGATCATGGTGTGTTAGGTTATATGGGCCAGTGTGTTGGGGTATTATGGTACAGGGCATGTGGTATTATGGGCCAGTGTGTTAGGTCATTGGCTACAGTGTGTTGGGTGTTATGGGACAGTGCGTGTTGGTATTATGGGCCAGTGTGTTGGGTATCATGGTACAGTGTGTTTGGTATTATGCCGCAGAGTGTTTGATATTATGGTACAGTGCATGTTGCTATATGGGGTAGTGTGTTAGGTCATTAGGTACAGTGTGTTGGGTATTATGGTACAGTGTGTTTGATATTATGGTACAGTGCATGCTGATATATGGGTCAGTGTGTTAGGTCATTGGGTACAGTGAGTTGGTTATTATGGTATAGTGCATGATTGCAGTGTGTTAGGTCATTGGGTACAATGTGTTAGCTATTATGGTACAGTGTGTTTGGTATTATGGCACAGAGTGTTTGATATTATGGTGCAATGCATGTTGATATATGGGGTAGTTTGTTAGGTCATTGGGTACAATGTGTTGGGTATTATGGTACAGTACATGCTGATATATGGGTCAGTGTGTTAGGTTATTAGGTACAGTGTGTTGGTTATTATGGTACAGTGAGTTGGTTATTGTGGTACAGTGCATGCTGATATATGGGTCAGTGTGTTAGGTCATTGGGTACAGTGAGTTGGTTATTATGGTACAGTGCATGATTGCAGTGTGTTAGGTCATTGGGTACGGTGAGTTGGTTATTATGGCACAGTGCATGATTGCAGTGTGTTAGGTCACTGGGTACAGTGAGTTGGTTGTTATGGTACAGTGCATGATTGCAGTGTGTTAGGTCACTGGGTACAATGTTAGCTATTATGGTACAGTGTGTTTGGTATTATGGCATAGAGTGTTTGATATTATGGTACAGTGTTTTTCTTGATATGGGACAGTATGTTGGTATTAAAGGACAGTGTGTTTGGGTGTTATGGTACAGTGTTTTTCTTGACATGGGACAGTATGTTGGTATTAAAGGACAGTGTGTTTGGGTGTTATGGTACAGTGTTTTTGGAATTGTAGCACAGCGTGTTTAGTATTATGTTACAGTGTCTTTGGTGTTATGTTTCAGTGTTTTTGGTATTGTGTTACAATATGTTTGGTATTTTATATGGCATTACGGGACAGTGTGATATATGGTGTAATGGGACAGTTTGATATATGATATTATGGGACAGTGTGATATATGATACTAAAGGACAGAGTTTTATATGGTATTACAGGACAATGTGTTATATGCTGTAATAATGTGATATATGGTGTAATGGGACAGTGTGTTATATGGTATTATGGTACAGTACAATATATGGTATTATGGGACCGTATATTATATGATATTATGGGACAGTGTTAAATGGAATAACAGGACAGTGTGATATATATTATATTATGGTACAGTGTGCTATAAAGTATTATGGGACAGTGTAATATATGATACCATGGTATTATGGGACAGTGTGACATATTGCTGTGGTACAGTGTGTTATATGGTATTATGGGACAGTGTGATATATGGTATTACATGTACATGTCATGGACCTCCTTTACAGTCTTTTATATTATTATTATGAGCCTGAGTGTTTTACTAATTTAGAAAGAATACACTTGTATTCTGGAATAAATTAGTTTCCTAAAGTGTCACCTGTCGTCTGGTAACCTTGAATACCTGAACTAAGAGTTTACATCCACACTTATATAATAATTTTATAAGTGATGTCCAAAAAGCCTTCAGCAGTTTGGCATTATTTAAAAATGGCTTTTGGTAAAGTGCCATGTAATCCACATCCGTTTTTTTAGAACTGGGGATGGAAAAAAAGAAAAGTGAGTTCGGTGACGTGTTGTGCACATCAGTGGTGACGTAGCTGTTGTGGTGCTGATGTCAGTGCCGGTCCTTTTATGGCAACTATGGCATCATTTTGTTGGTGAGAACGCAAAGCAGCACGAGAAGTCATGCAACTGACAGTCCCTTGACTTTGGATTGTACGCTGTATGAGTTGGACACTAGCTAGTGATGTAAACATGACAGGAAAAGGCTCTCAAGAGTGGGATTTGTTGGTTTCCCACACTGTTTTAGAGTTAAATAGTAAAAAAAGAACATTATGACTCTGTTTTAAACACCAAGGACATGTTGCTCTGCTTTAGCTGCTCTTCTCTTGCCTGCATCACGGATACTGGCTGGTTAATCTAAGTCGTGCAAAGATGCAGTGATAAAAGTTCTCAAAGTACAGTTGAGAGTGTGTCTTGATGCAAGGAGGAATGTGTTCACTCGCGTGCTTTGAAGTTCGTAGGGGCCGTCCCACGTGGGCTGTGTCTCTCTTAAACTCTCCGCTAGACGCTACAGTGCTGAGAGACTCTTCACAGATTGGCCAGGCTGGCGCATATTTCAAATGCGTTCTTGGAAAGAAGAAGCTGTTTAGCTGAAAGAGCTTGCATGCACTCTGAATTATATTAGTTAAGGGCAGGGTGCGTTTGGCAGTGTGCAGAGTTTCTTTGCATGGCGCTGAATACTGTACTGTGTCACCACTAGGGGTGCACAGCATATGAGCTGATATATTCCTGGATAAATAGAAGTTGTCTTTATTATTATTGGCTCGATATCGGAATTACGACTGATAATTACAACTGATAACACAGGCTTTCAGTCATGCTGTGATGCTACAGAATGAAAATGTCATCGGTGTGGAAGAAAGGTTTCACCACAGGACAACAGAATTGCAGTTTGCGACTGTTCAGTGAAGCTAGAGCAAGGAGTAAACATATTATCGAATTACTCAATTGAAAATTAATAAATCCAGTGATCGATAGAGCCTAAAGAGAATATGAGGCAGCTAGCATTAGCAGCTAGCAGGCTCATTGCACTGCATATGTGGATTATTATGGAACTTTAAAAAGCCAAAAAAAGTTGTTTTTTTGGTGTTAACCACCACAAAGTGTTAATTACTGATTATTGCTTGCCCAAAAACTCTGTATATTTGGTTACCATAGTATTTGGGTCATGGAGATGCGGGGGTCTTCTGTAGAAACGGTTGGTGTGACCCCCTTGTCATTAGTGCCTTTAGATTAAATAAAACATTTGCAGTCTCTAAAATCAATAGAGGATTCTACAGATTGTACAATGACTATTTTGGTGTAGTGTAGATGCTTCATAGATGTACATCTTGTTTTTAAACTAACATTGAACTTAATATGTATTAACTTCAATTTAAAGCTGCACTATGTAAGATTCACTTGTTAAAATTGAAAGAAGTTGCGTTCAAAAGAAGGTTTGGCTCGATGTTCAGGTTTCAAATGCAAAATCAATACAAAAAAAAAAAAGATATGATGACATATCGTTCATCAAGTTAAGACTTAGTTCTCTTTGGAGGCTCATTCAACGTCCAAAGCACAACCAAGATTATATAATGTTCTACCGCACGTTGTGTGCGGTTAAACACTTCACTTCACTTCAAATCCCCAAAACTGACATGGTGTAGCTTTAACTTTTCCCAACCCGAATAACTAGGTTCCTAATCCCAGATTGAGCCTAATCCAGGGACAAAATAAGATTTTTAGCCCTGGATTAGACTTCTAGTCCAATTCTAGCCTTAATCAATGACCACAAAATTGGCCCTAAATTTAACCTTAACTTCAACCCAAAACTTAAACCAAACTCTGGCTCTAATCTTAATTCTGACCCCAGTGCCAACCTTAACAATGTGAACATTTTTAGATGTATTTTAAGGGACCATTAAAAGACATTGTGACCGATATTTTGGATCATTCTTTAATGAAATGGCTATCATCAAGTGTTAAAACTCCAATCTGGACCTATGAAAAAAACCTAGGATGAGCTCTTGTATTAGGAAATGAGAGCCTTGAAGGTTTAGTAGAGGTGCAGTTTTTATTCGAAAACCTTTTGTTGCTTCATTATTCGTAATTGGTCTACATGCTTTATAGATGTTTGCTTGGCTGCACCCCAGCATTCTCTTTGTAGTGCGAGAGACCACACTTCACGTGTTGGAATGCTGGTCTCACATCACCAAGCTCAGCACATTCCCCCCCCATATCGCCTCAAACAACATAATCATATCACATTATGGCATAATTTTCTGATAAGCATCGCTGATATTCCCCCCCTTGGAGGCCGTTTTGCTAATATGCGTGCACAGTATGTCCCCTTTTTGCAATCGCTGCATAATTTCAGAGGGATTTGGACGTAAATATCGTTGAGGGGGGTATGACAAGGGCAATTAACAGCAACCTGTGGAATGTGGGCACAAACACCTCCAGAGGCATGCTCCATTTGAAGTGCTGTTGTTTTTTCTAGCTTGGCACTTTCAGGTCGTCAGAAGGGGAGTATTTCGTGGAGCCCCTGCACAGCTACGACGGTGAACATTATGAAGAAGAACACATCAAACCTCATATCGTCTACAGAAAAGATGCACACAAGAGTGCCGAAGAAGACGCATCCGCATGCAATGCTTCAGGTAAGAAAGAAAAGCCTTTGGAAAATAAATACACTGTTTTTGGAGTGTCTCAGGAGAGTCATGTCTCTTGCATGACTCTCTAAGTTGACACACATTTGTTTCTTCATGAATGTCAGCCACTGTTTTGGAATCTGTCTCAAGAGGTCCCAGCAGGATGATGAACTTTGCCAAAGTGAATTGGTTTATATTTGCTTTATATACTTATAATGCCCCTAACAGCAATACACATAACTGATAGACATATTTTTTCTACTTTTATAAAGTAATTGGATAATACGTACTAGTGATGTGTATTTTGTAAGAACGGATATCCGGTAATCCAGTTTGTTTATATGTATATATCGCTGTTGTCGGATGAAAACCTTGTATCTCCATTTCTTAAAAATGCCTTTTGCCCTTTACATTGTGTGTAAATTTCATGATGAATGGACCAATAGAAACGGCCCAAAATGACTTGGAAAAACGTCTGGTTCCATTGACTTACATTAAAAATAAAGCATTTTTTTGCCTTCTCCTGTAAAGTTACCATTTTGGAGATACAAGGTTTTGATCTGACAGCAGCGAGATATATATATTATGTATATATATATATATATATATATATATGAAATAATAATATTACAGGAGAAGGAGAAAACATACTTTACTTTTAATGTAAGTCAATGGAACCAGACGTTTTTCCAAGTAATTTTGGGCCGCTTCTGTTGATTCATTCATAACAATATAAAAGGCAACAGGCATTTTTAAATTATGTCAAAAACTGAAAAACACCAAAAATGGAGAAACAAGATTTTGTTCCGACAGCAGTGAGGTATGCAAGGTCTTCTCAGTGGACAGTGTGCCAAAATGTTAGTTTGTCAGAGAAATAATTCTTCACTATTTCTAGATCTAGCTAGATTCTAGAGTAGTTAGCCTGGTTAATAAAAAAGCCACACTGTTTCTGCCTTTTCAGTCATGTGCTTAAAAACGTGCCCATATCAAGGCACTTATGTCGCATAATATACTTACTTGCAGTGCTTTTACATTTTATAATCCTGTTAAAAGGCTGAATTGCCGTTTCCCTGAGTTATTAATCTGTGTATCTTCTCCGTCTTCACATTAAATAATATATGGAATACCAGAATATTGATTGTTCTTTGGCTTTACTTTATTACTATTACATTCAGTGAGGCATTTGATGCTGCATGAAGTGGAATTTGTGGAACACATAGATGGACACACCACACACACTCTTGCATCACTGCATTAATGGGAGTTTTCCATTGAACGGGCTGAACACGGCCATTTTCCAGCCTTTTTGCCCAAAAAAGCCCAATAGAGTCTGGCTATGTGCTGTGTCTGCTGTTATCAGTATCAGTGGTAACGTCAAAGAGACAGAACAGTTTAAAATCAAGCTTGTTGGGTGGGAACTTATTTTCTTTTCCTCCACCGAGCCTTGAGGTTTTTGGGGACAATGCCATAAATACATTCCAGCCACTATTTATGGCTTATTTTATTCTGCTGCTTGTCTATTTTCAAATGAATGTCATTGAGGGAAGCAGTGCAACAGGAAAAATCACTCTGAACGTTCTCGGTATCTCCCCCCATCTCAGTTTATTGCCACAAAATCCTGTTGACTCTTGCACTTCCTGTGGCCTGAAGATAAGGAAACTTGATAGGCCCAATACCACTGGAGCCATGGCGACCTGCATTGTGGCGAAGTGGTGAATGGTTCAAAACATTTGGAAATGCATTGCTGTGAAAATAAATTTGGATGGCGTGTAATGTAATACTTAACTGCTGCACGTTGCTGCTTCAGCAGCGCCTTTTGTGTTGCTGCTTTTCCTTGTGATATTCTGATATGTAGAGGAAATATGTAGCCCCTGAAAATGCACCAAAGAACAAAGCTTGTTCAAGATAACAAGACATTTTATGAAAGGCTTATTGTGGCTTCGCTTGTTCAGAAGGAGGATAAGTTTCATTGAAACCCTAATTGACCTATGCATGCTCTGTGCACAAATGCATTTGGTAGCTAGTGTTGTGAAATAGGCTTTACATTGCGCTGCTGTCAGAACAAAACCTCGTATCTCCATTTTGGACCAAAAGAAATGTCCCAAAATGACTTGGAAAAAACTCTGGTTCCATTGACCTACATTAAAAGTAAAGTATGTTTTTGCTTCTCCTGTAAAGTTACCATTTTGGAGATACGAGGTTTTCTTCCAACAGCGATTGGCAAAAATCTCATTTAAATGAATGAAAACTCAGTTTCTGTAAAAATACAAAGTTATTTACATTCAGACTGGCGCTGTGTTTGCTTAGAGTCACTACACAACGTAAAGGGCCAGACGTACGTAATGATGGAATTGCAATATGTGGCCGCAATGTAAGTTAATGTAAGTTAAGGCTGCAGCTGACCAGGCAAACTGCACACTTACTAACTGTGCTTGTGAGGCTACAGAGTTTAAAAGTTGTAGTGAAATAACGGAGCCGTCAACAAGCTTGAGACGAAACAGAAATGATAGTTAATATATGAAGTTCTTTACCACCAAAACATTCTGTAGTTGTGTCATTGTGCGAAGAAAATGTAATGAAAGAATCACGAGGACTGTGAGGGCATATTGTGGCTGCATCACAGCAGTTTTGCACAGATATATATGTTTCTGAGAGCATAAATAATATTATTCACTGGGCAAATATTATTAAAACTTGTGTTCAAGACTTGTGCCTCCTTCTGTCTAGCCCCTCTGTCTGCTGCTGTTTAAAGGAAGTCTCCAGATAACATGGCTTGGAGACATTTACACAAAATTACGCCTGGTTTTAAAAGGTGGGGCAAATTCCACACCAAACTAACCACCACTAGGTGCTCAAATGGTAGTAACTACACTATACCAACCGTTAAACTGCACGTTTAGGCTTATGTAGGCCTGGGCGGTAGGACGACATAATCGGATAGTGTTCATGATTAACAAGTAACCTGATTGCAATGGGTAAAAGGCCATTATTGCCAAGTTGGAAAGAGAACTAAAGAGAGACGACTAAAGGCGTTTTTCTACTGCATGGCACCGACTCCACTCGACTCTACTTGCCTTTTTTGGTTTTCCATTAGACAAAAGTTGGAACCTGGTACTTTTTTGGTACCATCTCCATCGGCTGAACTCTGATGTAGTATTTCCCAAACTGTCCTGTTTTTTCCAGCAGTCTTTTGTCTTGCAGCTATCAGCCTCTTCTGAACTTGTCCTTGACGTCACGGGAGTTTGATTTGGGATTGTTCTGATGTCCAGCTACATTGAGAGGGTTCTATATCTGCAGTGGAAAACAAAGTCGCTGGTACCAAAAGTCCTGAGTTCAGTAGAGCTGGTAACATGCAGTGGAAAAGCGGCTTAATTTATCTTTAAACAACTTGCAAAATATGTAGGAGTTCACATTCCTTTAAGAAGAGTGCGGGCACACTCCAATAGTCGGTTCTTCTGATTTACCTGAGAGACAGAGGGAGAGAGAAGCTAAGCTAAGAAGCTGTCTGTTAGTTCTCTCTGCTACGCAGTGTAATGCTGGCTGTACCTACTGCACAGCTCTTCCCCTGTTTTACTCTACTTTATGTTTAGCTTAAGTGCATGAAAACCGAAATTCATGCCGACAGGCTTTGGAACTTCAGCTTACTTCAGCATGATTCGCTGCAAGTTCCTCTGATCCCTGTTGATCCCTGATCGTCTTCTAAAACAGGATCAGGAAAAAGCAATTAATATAAAATAATTTGTACTCATAATGTTTATTCACTTTTACTGTTGTAACATCGGGTTATTTTGGGGCCTTTAGACTAATAAAAATGTGAAATTATAATACTGCATGGTTGTCGAAAGGCATCTATGACCGAACTCACTGTTAGCATGCAAGTCACCACAAATCTACACACATGAAAGCACATGCTTGCAGTGACGTCTATTAAAACAACAGGTGAAGTAGATTTTGAAAGGTGTTGGGTTACTCAAAATTGGATTATTTCAAGTGTGAGTTTTATTAAAGATTTTCATTAAAACAGTTAAGGTAGAACATTTAAACCAAAAATAGAATTGGAAGTAGGTCAAAACTGCAGCAGATAGTGTGTGTTCTTAGGGGGCGGGGGCAATATAATCAATAATCTTGATTTTTTTAAAAGAAAATTTCATGCTAACTATTTTTAGATATCGGCCAGAAAATTTTGTGCGTAAGACCTGGCCAGATTTGTCCATTTTGCACCTAAAACTGGCACAAAGCATGTAATACATCACTACGGTCATACAGCTTATTTAAAATGCTATGCTACCATGTTTTACTATGTTGTTTTAGTTCATCAAAACTAGGCAGGTTCTAAAAGACATAAAATTTGCCACTATAGGCACTTTTCCACTGCATGGTACTGGCTCGACTCGACTCCACTGTTTTGCTCTTTTTGGTACCATCTCCGTCGAGGTTCAAAGCGAATTGAGCTGATACCAAAAGGTGATGTAAAAACGCTACAGACGACTGATTGGTCGGAGAGAATTGCGAAACACATATGCTAATGTTAGCTACCACGTTAGCATCGCCTCTTGCATTGCCCTTTTTGAGCAACCAAAATCGTCGAGTCGAGTCGAGCAGAGTCGAGTCGAGCCGTACCATGCAGAGAAAAGTGGCTTATGCTAGCATTAGCGCTATACTATAACAAAGAAACAGCATTGTCATAACCATACCATAAACATGTTAAGGCAGAATTCATAAGCTGCCATAAGTTGTAAAACTAGCCCCGTTGATTCACTAGTTTTCAAGTTATCATCAGAAAACATACATCCAGCACCGCTGTTGTATCCTGAAGCTTCAGTTTGCTGGCATTTGGTCCAGAGATGGGAATGCTTTTGCTCCATCACTGGTTTCATGGCGGGTTGCCAAGTTTACCTAGCATGACCCCCCCCGCCCAAGACGCCCTCCTTTTTCTGGACATGATGCTGCTTGCTGAGAAGCAGACTCAGGCCCTCACCACAAACCATTTTTCATCTCATTCCAATAACAATGCTAAAGACTTAGAGGGGCTGTTGCCCATTGTTTGTGTTTGCAGTCATTCAGTGCCATGAGATCAGGGTTTGATCTGCTGCTAAGAGGCTGCAGACTCAGAAAGGCTGTTTGGTTCAAAAGCGAGCTTCGTATAACAAAGTGTAGATGTTAGTTTAGTGTCATTCTTCAGACCCAGAATAGCCCTCTGATGCTGATTTCTCAAACCTCAATATAAGGCCCCGAAACCTCAGTGAGGGATTTGTAAAGCCAGTAATTGCATCAGATATCTGTGTTTCAATCAACACTGGAAGTTTGTACATACAATGGTTGTATGTTGTTGGCTGGCCTGTTAGGGGATTTTATGCTGTGGTCATTCTTCCATGCTATATGGCACTCTTATCCTGTGTGCATATAGTTCTACATGGATTAAATTCTACATCAGATTTTGAAAGAGTTCTGCTTGTTTCTAAAAAGAACTTTAATGAACCAGGAAAAGATTTTGTTTTTGTCATTTTTCATTTTTTATGTAATATTCAGCTGCATTTTTTTTATATTAAAACTGTTTTTTACATAGTTCTCTCATCCTCTGTACAGTGCTGGAAAGTTATTTTTAAAGAGCTTATATTTCATTTATTCGTTTATTTTTGTATATTTTTTCCTTTAGAGTCAACTTATGATTCCTGCTTGGTTTTAAGTACCAAAAACAGTCATAATTAATTTTTGCATGACTATTTTTTATCCCTTAGAATTAAACAGGCTGCTTTTGTTACTGTGTCTTTAAGACTGAGGTATATAAATGCTCCGTTCTGATTGGTGGCCTTGTATTGTGCTGTATTCAAAAATCAGTCTGGGCTGAATTATTCATTGTAACTTCTTATATGGGTGGAGCTAAACTGCTATAAGCTGAATAGATACGTATATGTAAATATTTTTGACATCACAAAAACAATGAATTAAAATCAGGCTTTTTTTTACAGCTGATTATGAACTAGGGAGTGAATGGTACATTGTGAAATTTTACATTTTTACATGCTGCATTAAACTCAAAAGTGAGGGAAATTCAGTTTTACTGGCCATTTAATATCATAAAACATGCTTGTTATTTCTGTGTATTGTAAGTGTACTACTATCAGAACACTGGACATGGAAAAGATGGACCAAACCACTTTCGCAAGGTCAGTTATTCAGTTGGGACTTCTTGACAAAGATGCCAATGCAATCTTTGACGTTTATGATCAGTCAAATTGCGTGAGCTGTCTGGCAAGTTTCAGTTAACACTTTCAAAATTCATGCTGCACAATTTATTAGTATTGTAATTGTATTGCTACATACTGCAACTGTGATGCACCTTTTATAATGTGTAGTATTTTAAAAATGCATTGGTCAGTCAATAGTTTGACATAGTTAAAGATATGCCTTTGTTATTTTGACCAAAATAATTGACTGTGTTGTAGGGCTGCATAATTAATATTTCTAGGAGCAAGCCGAATGATCTGCACTTGCAGTGAGATAATTTCACATGATAAAATGACTTAAAACAAGTGAAATTCTATAGAAATAAGTAAAATAATCCTACAATAGTCTTACAACAATCTCAGAATGAAAAATATTCAATATACTGACTAGATTTAAGGGGATATCACTCGCCAAGATATAATCTTTTGCAGTGTTGAGCTGAGCTCAATCCTCATTCACTAACAAGTACAGAGTGTGACTTAACCACTCTGCTATAGAGCCAATTACAAAGTGCACAGCTCAAAAACTACTGTACCCTTAATTACTAGCCTATAATAATACTTTAAATGTGGTGATTATTCTTATTCTCTGTGTAAAGCAGTAATGACAAATGTCACAACACACTTGCATCATCATAGAAGCTTATTGATTGTTTTTCTAACCACCTTACAGTACACCAAAAATGTGCTAGCAAGTGTGATGTTAGCTATTAGTATTTCATTATTTTCCGTTTTGCACGTTGCACAATAGTGAATGATCCTTTGGTAATTTTGCATTTATTCTTGCTTAAATGAGAGGTTAGATAGATTTCTGTCTACAAATCATAAAAAAGGTGTCTGTGCTTGTTGCATACCCAGTCTGAGACACACTGCAGTTGTATGCAAAAGTTTGGGCACCCCTGGTCAAATGAGATACACATCCTCTATAGAGAACACAGAGAATGTCTGCACATGTTAACACACAATTACTGTTTATTTACTGAATTAATGAAAAATAAAAATTATATGGCCTGGGCCATAATGTATGGACTTACTTTGTTGTCAAATATGTTAAACTCAGGAAAAAATAGCAATGGAAACTAGCAGTAAAAATTAGGTTTAAATGTTTGCGTTTACTTATTTTCACTTAGAAAAACAACAAAATACATTTTTTTATATGTTGTCATAAATTGCTCACCTCATATCGTCATTGTGATATCCAACAGCTTTTTCAAATGTCACATTTATGTCCAGATCGTGCAGCCTTACTTTTACAGTACTTAATTCAGCATATCACTCACAAAAACATTCATCTGGGACTGTGATTGGTTGGAGGACTCATTTGCATATCACAACGTTCTGCATTATCAGTACATGATATTGATTAACACACTACATATTGTGCAGCCCTAACACAAGTTCCTTGAAATACTAGGGGGCTTCATTCTGCGCTGGCGCTGTTCAGTTCAGCTCAGTTCACTTCTAATCAGTTCCATTTGTATGGTGCTGCTTTTTTTTACATCAGCACAAAGCAGGTTTCTAAAACGGTACTGAGACGTCTTTGCGTTTTTGCCAGGTCATGAGCAGACACAAAGGGTACAGGGGGGTGAGGAGGAGGGCAGGACGTCTCCCAGCATGCCGTCCGACCTGGAGGCTCTCAGCGCGGGGGTCTCCTCTGGCCCCTTCTCCTCAGCGGAAAACCAGCAGCTCCCGGCTAACGGCAGCAGTGACTCAGGACCTCACCGGAGATCAAAGCGCTTCCTCTCCTACCCGCGCTTCGTGGAAGTCATGGTGGTTGCCGACTCCAAGATGGTGGAACACCACGGGAGCAACCTCCAGCACTACATTCTCACACTGATGTCAATCGTAAGTGGCTCTCGCCTCAACACAAGGCTCTGTTCGCTTCACAGTACTGAGCTTTAAGGCTGAGCGATAATGAGAGGAAAGGTCACATTGCAGTATTTTGGTTTTTAACGATACGTTTTGCAATGAAGGAGTCAAAGATTTACCTAAATAAACTATTCACAAATGAAACTAAATATCACTCTAGCAGTGAAACGGGTGCATTAAGTCTGTGTGAATAGGGAAAAAGACATATTGCAATTATCCTGCTGTATTGCGATTGGAATATACTTTCCAAAATATCAAACACACATGTACATATAATGTGTTGCAGTCTGTCCGGCATTATTTTTGCCTAAAAAGATTTACTTTTGTTGGATGGCACGATTGCCTGAATGAATCCAAACACCCAAAAAAACATCTGTACTTGATCAGTGCACACAATAAAACATTAAGTATCCTCTTTTGCATACTATGCACTTTTGCAACATGAGTACTGTGAAGGTCAGTGTTGATATAATGGTTAAGTAACAATGAATTGTGCTGCCATCTGTGCACACTTTAATAAATTCTTAGCAGTTGATCATAATAATATTCAATACAGTCAATAAGGGACAAAACAAAAATATGTAGGCTATTTTCAAAGATCCAAAATAAGCCTGGTGTATTGCTTTAATTTTCTACATATCATTACTGGGTAAATAGTTCCTCCAGTTCTAGATGGTATCCGGAGGAATCGCAGTCGACGTAGATTGACACCCCTAATTGCTGCCCAGATAAATACAGTACTGTACACCTGAGACCACCCTTTCATTTATTTCATTTCCAGTCAAAATGGCCATTAAGTAGAAGTTATTCGTTTTTTTAAGCATCAGGAAAAAAGCGGAAAACATTTAACTTTAATTAAAAAGCGGAAAATTTTTAACAGAAAATTACACAGAAGCTTCAACAACTAAATGTAATATCAGATCACTCTGCCTTTATTACAGCTTCCATTCTTTTCGGGAGACTTGCTTTCAGTTTTTTTCCAAAAAATCTGCCAGATGTTTTTCCATACCTCCAAAGTTCAGTCTTAGAAGCTGGTCGCATTTTTAAGCATCTCACAATCCAAATAATCTGAAATACATTAAGTAATGTTGAGGTCTAGACAGTGGGGTGGTCAGTCTGTTGTTCTGTGAACACCAGCAGGTTCTCTGGTTGTTTTCTATTTTATTTCCTTTTTTATCTGTTTCCTTTTTTCAGTAGTGGTGGGCGATATGGCGATATAACAGGAAATGTTGACGGTACACAGTATGTGATATTATTTTCTGACATCTGATATGTTGGAACAGTCAAAAAAAAGGAAAAAAAGGACCACATTTAAAAATACTGACAATAATTTTGGGCACAAATTATTTTTATTTAACGTTTCACATACTGAGCTGCACCATATCAACATAAACTCGGCTGATTATCTTCTCTTTGTAATAAAACCTGCAGTTGGCCAATGTTTTTTAAGTACTGACGAAATCCAAGATATGCAGAACATTTTATTGTGACATATTGTGATGGAATTCATCACAATAACAATAAACATTGTCATATTTCCCAGCCTGAGTGATCTCACAGTGAAAGGAGGGACAGCATCACCTGTGGATGTTTTCAGATCTGAAGCAGCTTCATTTTCTCCTCTCTCTCAAAGATCAAAGCTTTAAGTGCTGTTTATCTGATGGGGGCAGTGTCGGTGGTCTACCAGGTCTTCCAGGTGGTTGTTAGGAGTTTCCTGTTTTCTGAAAGTCCTGTTTTTTTCAGTCATTTTCCTTTCACCTTCTCCTTCCTTATGCAAGTAAATTATCATATCCAATCTCCTCATGTCTCTTTAAAAAGATATAACTTGTCCATTTTGACTGGAATTTTGTAAATAAAGGGTGGTTTTGTACAGACATTGTTCCGCATGATACTGTGGAGACCAGCGTTTAGCCGGAATGTGAATCTTACAGTAACAGAAGAGCAGCATGAGGTAGACCCATCTGACAGATATGATGAATGTGAAAAAAAGAGAAATAAAATCAGGTATGTCGCATAAAAGGCATACTTGAGATGCTTTTTAGCAGGGCTGTTAGGGAGGTGAAGTTGACCTATATTCTGATCTTGGCACAGGCCACAGTTCTCCGCAGGTTCTGGGAGCGCAATCAACTTCTCAACAGCCGAGAAATATTTCTCCAGCAGCTGACCAACCAAATTATAAATAGAATTGCTATGCGAGCCCCTGTTAATAATCTTAGCTTGACATGGCTGCATTTATTAGAGTTATCTCAAGACGAATGGCTTTTAAGACAAGGCCCGATGATAAATGGAAGCAGAGAGAGTGTTGTGTATTTTCTGTTGACACTCTGATAGGCTGGAACGCTCAGTGTTTAAGATATGAAATTCCTCTTTTCTGCTCACTGTGCACTTACTAATTTACTATTTGGCAACAAAGCTTTTTGCTAGGGCAGAAGCAACAACTGAGCATGTAATTGGTTTAGGCGTTCTGTATGCTCCAATCACCGGTCATGTCACTGAAATTGCTTGTGAAGTTGTTTGAAACTGCCAGCGCATTTGTTCGCTTCATGTAGGAGTCGTCCTTCTGCAAACATCTACCACCCCCTGTCCGAACCAGATCCTCTCAATTAAATAAGCCATTACAAAACTGACTTCAGGCTAGTTTGAAAGAGTCATTGTTTTGCTCTATACTAATCTGATCATTCTGGTGCTTTGTCTTTATCCAGGTTTCCTCAATCTATAAGGATCCCAGCATTGGCAACCTGATTAACATCGTCGTCGTGAAGCTGGTCATCATAAACAATGAGTTGGTAAGAGAAAGATCATGTGGCATTCTCAACTCTCAAATGTACATCCTGAAATTTTTGGACAAACAGTTGTATCACAGCTATTTTCGGACTGCAAATTAGAAAATGTTAATCCAGTCACCCACTTGCAATTGTGTTTCTATGTGTACGTGATCTGCAACGCAATGAAAAATGAACGGCAAAATGTGTAAAGAACAGTTTGTTTGACAATCATTGGAGTGACCAGAAAGGGAGGTAGCTGGAAGGTTGCAGGTTCAAATCTCAAGACTGACTGGAGAAGCCTGGTTGTGCCTTTGGGTAAGGCACTCAACCCCCTAGTGCCCCAGGCAGCACTACTTTTCTGGTGGCGCTGTGCTGTTCCCAGTCTTTTTATAAGGACTGTGCCAAAAGTATGACGGCGGTTTATGGTCACTATTAAAATAAATAAAAATAGTACACCTCGATAAAAAAGTCGTAATATTTCGAGAATAAAGTTGTAACATTTTGAGAAAAAAAGTTGTAATATTTGCCAATGGCAAAGACAACGAGTGCGCCGGAGTTCCACTCACTCGTGTCTCTTTGTGGATCGAACATTTTGATCATCATTCTCATTGTCTGTGAAACTTCATGCCCTCTTTGAATGGCACAGAGATGTAGCCACTGATACCCATGTAGACGACCCTGCCTGCGATTCTCCTTCAACAAAACAGACAGACAGTTTCCTCCGAGTCCGTCTGGTTCTTTATTCTAAATAAACACAGTTTCCTGCTCAGCCGTTTCAGCCGTTTCTTTTACTAGTAACAGTCCAGTGTTGATGTGCCAGGAGAGACAGGGAGACTCAGTGTTTCTTTATGGGTGAAATCGATATGAAAGTATAACTCCACCAACTCAGCACCCCTCATTTAACACGAGGAGGGGCTGCCTTCCCTTCACAAAGCCTTTGGTCACAATATTGAGACCTTTCCTGGTATTAATGCCACTTCAATGTCGCAATTCGAAATATTAAGACTTTTTTCTCAAAATATTAGGACTTTTTTTCTTGAAATAGTACGACTTTTTTCTCAAAAAAATATTATGACTTTTTTCTCGGAATATACCATACGACTTTTTTTAGAGAAATATTATAACTTTTTCTCAAAATATTATGACTTTATTCTCGAAGTCTACTATTTTTATTTTTATTAACAGTGGCCCTAAAACACCGTCATACAAAAGCCACCCTAAGCTCTGTGGTCCTACTACACATCCACTGTTGGATGAATGGTGGGTGATGTGGCAAAAATATAACAGCACGATACTTGAAGACGATACATCATGATATTGTGCTTTACACAAAAAAGCCCACTAATGCCACTTTTAAAATGTACTATCAAAAACTATGGATAGAATTATTTTGATTAAACTTTTCACACATTGCACTAAAATATAGTGTATGTCTGTGTTGTTCTCTCTCTACACAGGAAGGTCCTGTGATCTCGTTCAACGCACAGTCCACTTTAAAGAACTTCTGTATATGGCAGCAGGGTCAGAACCACCTCGACGACAACCATCCCAACCACCACGACACGGCCATCCTCATCACCAGGTCCCACAAATTTTCCATTCTTTTGAATGGAAAGATTAGCCAGTGCTAACAGCATTAGCATATCCAACACTGGCACTGATAAACCTTTAGGGCATGCTTAGTGATTGGGCAGTGGAAGGTGAAGCTGTAGCCAGTTGTTACTTGCTAGGCAATTAGTAGTTTAATCGTCTGCTTACTTATTACTGTTATTCTGCAGTTGTGTTGTATGCATGCTGTGTATGAAGGCTTTTTAAGAGAGTGATCTGTGTTTTTACAGGCAGGACATCTGTCGAGCCCGGGACAAGTGCGATACCTTAGGTAGGTCTCTTTTATGAGCAGTAATGTGGTATAGATGATATTGATATGGAATGCAATGATGAGGTAAAGGAAACATTCAGAATAGATAATAATTATGAAGCTATTAGTGTGTAATGTTAACATTGACCATAAAGAGTATAATAAAATGATGCTGATGGTATAAGTGATAATGATGTGGATGAAGACCACAAAAGAAGTATTTAATGGAGCTGATGATGATGATGGTGATGATGTTGACTTTACAAATACTGCTTTTCCTCTGCACTGTCAGGTCTTGCGGAGCTGGGCACAGTGTGTGACCCCTATAGAAGCTGCAGCATCAATGAAGACAATGGCCTCAGTACTGCTTTCACCATCGCTCATGAGCTCGGCCATGTGTAAGTGACCACCGCTTTACCCTGCGTCATTAGTCCTCAATCTGCATGCTCTACAATTGTGTTAAACTAAGTTCATTAACGTATATAATCTCAGTTGTTTGCTGTATGTTCTGTAAAAGTTGCTTGGAATGTAAGAGGAATATTCAGCTACAGGAATATAGCAACCTAGTACTTGACACGATAACACAATTGTTACAACCCTGCTGAAAAAAATAGTACAGACCAGCATGAATTCTAAGTCTAAGCTGTTTTATGCTGGTTTACACTGGTCTAGTGTTAGTCTGGTGCTGGTTTAGCAGCTCCCCAGCTTCAAAAACGCAACATGTGCTAGTTTTGGATGCTGGTCTATGCTGTTTTTTTTCCAGCAGGGAACCCAGTACTAGCTAGTTAAGCTAACAAATTAGGCCACAGCTAAAGAATTGTAAATATTATGCTACTTGAACTCTTTTCAGACAAAACGGACACAAATGTAACATCATAGAATCGTTGAAACATCTTTAAGATTCATTTTGTCATTTGCTACAAAAAACAGCACAGACTAGCATGGCTGGTAACCAGCAAAACCAGCATATGTTGTGTTTTGGATGCTTTATGCTGGTCAGCAGCAATGGAAGTTAATATGCTGGTCATCAGCAAAACCAGTTTGTTGTGTTATTCATGAAACCAGCACCAGACCAGCACAAACCAGCTTAGAATTCATGCTGGTCTGTGCTGTTTTGTTCAGCAGGGTTGCTGAAACATTGCTGCATGCTAACCTTACGCTAACCACACACTCATTACAACCCAGCATTAGCTAGTCTGGTTTTAGCAGTATAGCATACTCTGTTGTATCAAATTGTATCATAACATATCAAATTGTTTAGCATTGTATCTTTATATCATGACTACCATTTTAGCTTGTTGCTAGCATGTTAGTGTGGGGCTAAAATATTAGCTAGCCGCTAGACTGACACTAAAAAGCACAGCGTTTGTTTCAAACATTGTGCTTTGATAATGTTGGGTGCTCTTTCAAACTGAAACTTGAAATTTAGCACAATTTTAGCCATTTTGTTAGCCATTTGATTGTGTGGTTAGCGTATGGTTACATGCAGCAACCCTGCTGAACAAAACAGCACAGACCAGCATGAATTCTAAGCTGGTTTGTGCTGGTCTGGTGCTGATTTAGCTGGTCACCCAGCATGACCAGCATCAAAAACACAACATATGCTGGTTTCCATTGCTTCCACGTCCATTGCTGCTAACCAGCATACAAGCTGTAGTGAAACATGAATTGAATTGAGGCACCACTGTAACAGATCGAATCAAATTCTGAATTTTGTGAATCATTACACCCTTACTAGCTAGCTAAGCTAACGATTTGGTTCACTGGCCGTTTAAAACATAGGCCTGAGCAGACTAAACTACAAGGTAGGCTAATCTACAGATACAAAAACATGTAAGAAGATTTAATAACCTCAAAAACAAAGTAAAAATGTTTAAAAATTTGATTCAAAGTTCACATAAGCTAAGGGTTGTACACGTTTAGGCCAGACAAAGGTCAGTTAGCTTGAGCAAAACTGCTTTGGGTCCTCATTTCTCTTTTGTGACAAGTAAGTATAGGTGTACCCCACCACCACCACCACACACGACACAGTGCACTGAACAACATTTGCGTTTATCTTTCAAGCTGAAAAGCAGTCAATTGTCTGTCCAGCTCTAATGTGTTGTCTCGGTCAGACGTTAGATCACTGAAATATTTTGGTTGCCCTTTGGCACATCGTGATAAAACTCCGTCTGCACTTGATAGCAGCCTCTCAAGGCCTTCTGAGGTGGTTTTTGTTTGGTCTGCCAGATGGGACCTACGTGAAATTTCGCCATTGAAAAGCGCTTTAGCTTTGTTCAGTGCTTTTGGCTGTTAAGATAAATAGAGCTAATTTAGATTTAAGGTAAATGGTCAAAAAGGATGGCGACAGTCTACTGATTTCTGTCCTCTTATTAAAGGAGAAAGTGTTTCGAGTTTCGATTTATAGATTTCTGTTACTTGAGGACTTCAGGGTGAACATTTTTAGAGTCAGCTGTTCTGGGGTAGTGGTCCAGAAATTTCCTCTGCCTTAATCGATGAGTTTAGATTCTTTTTCTCAGCTTGGGTTCTCCTACCAAAGCTTTGGTAGGTAGGCACCAGGCTCAAACTCATTTTTTTGCTCTTTAATTACTTATTTATTCTCAGTGTATACACAAGATGGGATTTTGGAATTCCTTTCTTATCCTGTGGTGGGTGGTGACATCACTACTGTAGGCTGAGCAGGGATTGAGCTCCTGGTGCTACATGGTGCTATGCTGTACATATCACACCTCTCTCCAGTAGCCTACATGCCCTTCATGATCTCCTCAGACTTCACATACTGTTCTCTATGCTGGGTCACTCTGGAATGGTGTTAACCTGAATGTAAAATAGGCCTCTTATGGACCTGTATTTTGAAGGGTCACATTGAATGGACAGTGGTGTACCTCTTTTCTGGTTGTATAACATCTTTTAAAGGGATAGTTTGGCCAAAAATCTCTCCACTTACCCCGACTGCAGTTAACTGAAACACGTTTGGTGTCTGAAGTCTGCTTCTTTAGCTTTGCGCCAAAGCTACGAGGCTAATGGAAGCTTATAGTTAGCAGTTAGCAACACAAGTGCATGCCTAAATGGTTGCACACTTGCCTCAGACCGCATTGAGCTGTTAAGTAATCTCAAATGTACTTGCTTACGTGGTTTATGAAAATGTATGACATACCGTTTTCTATAAAAAGCGCTTAGCTAACCCTGAAGTTAGCAATCCAGATAAGCAAAGCCTGTTTTTTGTAGCATGACATATTTCTTAATAATAGGTTGGGGTGGTGGGAGAAAGAGGTGAAACGGTGTTGGTGCAGGGTGTTGTAATCAAAATTAAGATGTTTTAGACGTGGGCAGAAGTTAATATATTTTGATAGAAGACAATGAATTTATGTTTTAGATTAGATGATATGATGAAAAAAGCATCTTTTTCTGCTGTTTAATCTACTCTTCCCCATTAGTAACACAATTTCTGAACAGTGTTGTTGTGTTCATTTGATATATAAAGAACATGATCTTTGAATGTCAAATTTGTTGTATATATGATATGTATATATGTGTATATATATGTACGCATGTAAATTGGAATATAAATCATACATCAGCCATGTTTTATCATTATTCTGATTAAACAAAGTAAAACAAAAGTACGATGTGTAAATGAAAACACTAACAAAACAGTAATGCTTAACAATATGCTTGTTTAGGAAGAAAATCATAGTTCGTCCAACAATAAAGGCAGCCTCATGCATCTTTTATACAGTGATAGTAAACATACAAGCTCACATTGTGTGCGCTGATACCTTCTACTGTGGCCGACTGAGTTAAACCCTTAATATCCCAAATTTATTTCATACAAAGCCTTATTATTCAGGAACTGCAGGGACTTCAGTGCAAACTAATGGAGCTTTTCCTAGGTTTTAGAAATGTGTGATAAAACTTTGGGCCTGTTTGCGGCCCATGGCTTGTTAAGGGGTTAAAGTGGCCACCGAAAAAGCTTCTGAATGGATTCCTTGCAAGATGTTCGGTTTGATAAGCGTTAATATGGTCAATAACATAGGGAATATAGAGAAATTAACAAACAAAAAGAAATTCTGATTTCGGGTTGACTTTAACAAATTACTGTGGTTATGATTTATTTTTCATAATGCTAACTCAAAATCATAAGTGCCTGTTACCTGTTAGCCTCATAGCTCAAGTGCAAAACTTGAGCAGACTTTGGCCACCAAACATGTCTTGGCTTACTGACTGTATTTATTTAGTGTTGGGGAAAAATGTGAAAATTATATTTTTTGTTAAACTGTTGCTTTAACTAGAGCCCACATTGTGTATTTATCAGTGATAAGTGTGCCTGTGCATGTTTTCTTCTGCAGGTTCAACATGCCCCATGATGACAATTATAAATGTAAGGAGGACGGGGTTAAGAATCAGCAGCATGTGATGGCCCCCACGCTCAACTACTACACCAACCCCTGGATGTGGTCCAAATGCAGCAGGAAATACATCACAGAGTTCCTCGAGTACGTATTCTATTATACTCCACACAAGGACACAGTCCCAGCTTCCTGTACTGTGTTGCTGTAAGCCTGGATTCTGTAAGGCAGATAAGGCTCAATACAATCGGAAGTCACTTCAGCATGTTTGTGAGGTTATTTGAAATACAGCCTAATGACTACCATTCATCTATTTGTTCCGTTGCACATTTTTTTACATAGTTGGATTTGGTACCTAAATTCAGTTCATCTTCTTTTCTTCTGAATCACTGGGTGTATAAAATAAAATAAAGGGAAAGGGTTTTTAAGGGTTTTAAAATGAAGGTTTTTCAAGATTTCTGCATTAAATAATAAATAAATCATAAGATGTAAACAAAGCCATTCAGTGGTTTGAGGTGAAATGTTCAGTTCTATAGAAACCATAGTCAGAATTGTTCACAGTGGTGGTGATGGGAGACGTCTGAACCATTCAATGACTATAAAGCTACCTTATGGAAATTTATTACATGAAATGGTTAAGTATATCGCTGTTGTCGGAAGAAAACCTGGCATCTCCAAAATGGTTTACAGGAGAAGGAAAAAACCTACTTTACTTTTAATGTAAGTCAATGGAACCAGACTTTTTTCCAAGTCATTTTGGGCTGTTTCTTTTGGTCCATTCATCATGAAATTTTCAAATGATGTCAAAAACAGAAAAATGATAAAAATGAAGATACAAGGTTTTCTTCTGACAGCAGCGATATGCTGCCGGATGCCTGAGATAGTTATGATAGTTTTGCGATAAATGTTTGGCTTGAAACATATTTGTTAAAATGCATTGATGGTGGAGAGATAAATGCATGTCGTTCTAAGGCAAAATAGCCCCTGTAAAACTTTTTTTCCCCCAGATGTACTACTATTTCACCATTATCAACACTACATATGAAACTCAGAAGACATCTGTTGGTTCACTGCACATAAAATGGCTGTAGACATTGTGACACCTGGTTCCTTATTATTTTTAAGAAGTCAGAGTTGTTAAGTTTCTCTACAGCGGACCATTTCACATCACTCTGACTGACTTGGTTTACATCACAGTGGCTGAGTTATGCAGACACTTTGAAAAATCGGTGGAATTCCACTTAAACCTTGACATGCAGAGTAGATGACTTGGCAGTCCCTTCACCTCATACTCAAGCTGTGTTTCTGTGTCTTGTTTGTCTCCTGTTTGTTTTGTTTTTTCTTGAAGTCGTCTTTTGATCATTTTATATTAGCACAGGGTATGGGGAGTGTTTACTCGACGAGCCCGTATCTAGGCCATACACTCTGTCCCAGCAGCTGCCCGGACGGATATACAATGTCAATAAACAATGTGAACTCATATTTGGGCCTGGGACGCAGGTGTGCCCATATATGGTAAGAAAAAGTTGCCTTTACTCTGATTATGTCTTTAAATTTCGAAAAACAAGAATGAGCCAAATGGACAGCAGGCAAATTTACGGTTCTAGTTCTAGTTCATTTTCCACCTCATTGAGAGACCATCTTTGTAATTGTATGTCTTTCTGTTTGTTTAATGTGTAAAAGTCTAACTTGGCTAATTAGCTGTCTTGCTTACTGGTTATTTTAAATTAACACTAGTCCTTACATGAAATAATATAGCGTGATATTCTGCTCTTACACAATTCCGTGATTGTCCATAATGGTGCATAATCATGGGTAGAATCAAGCACGGCTTATATTTATCTCTGCAGAGTGTAAAAATATAAGCACATATTCTGTGGAAATGAGCACAAATGCTAATATTATTAGTTAGATTATGTCAGAGGTTTTCAGTCTTTTCCACCTCAAGGTCCAACTGTTTATCACTAGAAAGTGTGACGTCCCACAGGAACATTTTTCCTTTAAAAAAATTTTTGGGAAACTTTCAACACAGCAGATTTTGAGTGCCACAACATGCCATGTGTTTCACTGAACATTAAACATCAACAGGTGAGGTGAATGTAATCTCGTATTATACCTAAAATCAGGCAGAACGGTGGCAAATTAAGCTAAATTTACTGCGTTTGACTACAGCGGAACTCAGAATTTCTGGCTTCCAGCTATCAAATATCACAAGCTGCCTAGTTGGCGAGTTGATATTTTAAATGATAGCCTGAAATGACAGAGGTAGCTGGCATGCTAATCTTTGAATACCTTTAATGTACCAAAAACTGTAAAATGACCATTGTTATGGTTAAAACTGTGAATAAAATGCCACTTATACACTTTTTAGACACACGTGTAACACTGACTGAAATAACTTGGCAAAGTCGTCTGCTGTCTTGATTTAAATTTTCTAGACTGTATGGGGTGATTGCCTTGTCTCTATCATGATGCTTTAAAATTTGGCCACCAAAAGATGCCTTAGTAGGCACTAAATAAATAAATAAATAAATAAATGAATGACACTCTGGCCGCATAGAATTACTTAGTTAGCACTGTATCTGTTGTGAGCATGACTACTCACCTCTTACATCAGTGCTGCAGTAGTGAGATTTTCTGGTATATAACTAAGACAGCTAAAAATCCTTTCCTGATGATGCATCTTGAAGGTGGAAGTAAACGTTGAAAGACTATAAGAGCTTTGGGGTGGACACTTTGGGTGGGCTGTTACATTTTTTGCACTATTAAATAATTTCTGTAACAAAGAAAAAAGTATCTTGACCAGGTTAGTGCCGTATCTGTAATACTAGCTAGATGTATTTATTAGCCTCAAGCTCAGTGTCTAGCAGTCAGGATTTGCTGTAGGGATTTCCAATGATCATGCGATGTATTTGTGTAATGCATCCTGGGTATTGTAGTAAAAGAACATTGACAGACAAAAACACAAAAATGATAAAACATTGTGAATTCTCTCAAAGTGATGAGGCTGCTGCACTGCAGAATAATGCATAACATAAAAAATTAGACATGTATTAAACATATTAGATGTTTATTAGATGTTTAGAGTTTTAGGCCAGAATGCCTCTTTAAGCTTTGTTCATGCTCATGTGCACACGGAGAGTTGGAGAAGAGCTATTTTGGCTTGTGAATCAAAGTACCGGTTACATAACATCTTTAAACTACAGCCAGAGTAGTATATGGCAGTGATGTTCAGTGTGTTTGTGTAAAGGGTACTGTGTGTGTGTGAGAGAGAGATGTTTTATGAGAGATGGTTACCTAATGATTGTGTGTGTGTAGACACGAAGGACTAACTGTGAGTGTTGATGTGGATGTTCTCCAGACGCAGTGTCGAAGGCTGTGGTGCACCAGCCCAGAGGGAGCTCAGCGTGGCTGCCGAACCCAGCATATGCCCTGGGCTGACGGGACTGACTGCGCTCCCGGAAAGGCTAGTGTTGTATTTAATGGCACCATTAAAATGAACAAACACACACAAATAAACACACAAGCTGTCAAACCAAAGTAACAAGGTAACAAGGTAGCTCAACTCAGCGATTCCTGATTGAGATTTTTATGTAGGGGTTAATTAGTTTCCCCCCAAAACTACACTTGATTCTCATCTGGTGGGCTTGGAGTATGTTGACTTTCAGTGTTTCTTGTAAGTTAGGATCCCGCTGCTTTGTTTACATGCGGTATTTGAAACCAGAACACCCCATAACTCAGAACAGTCTGCTGTTAGATGTTGTCATGCTTGTAAAGGAGAAACAGATCCTCTGCCATCATGTTTCTGTTGATTTTTAAAGTTAAGGCACATTCAGTATTTTATGTTTTAGATATTTTTTCCAATATGTTAAACTATAAAGCAAATAAATAAAATATTGTGCACTAATGTTAGCAGAAAAAATGCCATATTTAATTTTCTTGTAGGGGAGGTGTAAACTTATTTCACTTAGAAATACAGGGTGGGGTCCAAAGGTCTGAGAACACTTTGGAAATCTGGGATTGTTTTCATTTAATCTTGCAAATAAACAGAAAGTTGTAGAGGTTAGTTTAGAAGTTTTCGAAAGAAGAAATATCTTAGATTCTGCTCTATTTCCATGTCACCATTCAGATTTAAGCAAATTTGTGACGTTAAGGCCATTGGACAGAAAAGATCTGATTTTTTTTAGTCTTTTTCCTTCCATTGAAGCTCATTGTCTGATGACTCTAGAGGTAGATTTAATCTACTGATCACTGATTTTGTCATTAAAGCAAGAAGAAGAAAAGGATAGAAGTTATATACAGTTGCACACATCTTAATGTACAATTTGGTGTTTTTTCCCATATGATTCAACTTATAAACTAATTACCAATCTCTTCAGTCCTGTAAGACTCCTGGACAGCCAATCAATGACCTGTCTGACCTTTCTTAAGCATTAAGAAATGCCTCGAATTCCGGGTCAGTTTGTATCCAGGCATTCAATTCTTTTTTGCAGAACCAAAAACCAGAATAATCAAAGGAGAATTCTGGACTAGGTCTTCTACATAAGTAGTCTGTAACATGTCTACATATGACAGGGCCAGCGATTGTCAAACTGGTGCTACAACAAAAATAGACCACCTGAAACAAAGTATTACTATGGTAATTGATAACTGGTTGCCAACTTGAATAACTAGCAGACTTGCGAAATGTAAAAGTTGTGAAACCCCTGCTAGACACTAGTCTAATCTATCTTCTTCTCTTTTTTTGTGAACAGCACTGCAAACATGGCCTGTGCATCCCAAAGGAGCATGACTCCATGCCAGTAGAAGGAGCATGGGGTGTTTGGAGTCCCTTTGGCTCCTGCTCGCGCACCTGCGGAGGGGGGATAAAGATTGCCGTCCGGGACTGCAACCGACCCCTGTAAGACCTGCATGACCTTTATAGGGCTGGTTTACTGTACAGTTTGGAGTCCTGGGCTACACAGCATTCTGAAAGGAGATTATTCATTGGAAGAAAAATGTAGTCCAGGACGAGGCTTAAATCCCTATGTGGGTGTCTTGTGTCTCAGCTGGGAACAAAGCTGCTCCTTAAGGTTCACCCTGATAAATGATAAGAGCAAAGCCTCTGCTTAGAGCAGCCCTGCACTGAATCCATACACTCTGTGATCCCCTAAATCATTTACACAGTCTGACAGGTTGAAAAGCGCTTTACCTGTTTCGTTTTATCTAATAAATGTAGTAGTTGGTGATATGGCCAAACCATAAAATCATTTTAGATGGTTAAACAAACCTATTTTATAAGTTAAAAGTCGCTTATTATTCTAAGATGTCCTTTTTTAATTAAAAAAAAACAAAAAAACATTTGTACCAACCAAAGCAAATGTAAATTTGAAATATTTTTATTATGCAAAACAGTAAAAAATTATTGTTTTCTAACGGTGCTAAACAAGTGGACTAGACAGTGGGAGGTGACTGAGGGTCTGCTGTATGTTCATTTTCATTTGAAACATGACTGAAACATCCCTGACTCATCCCTGATTCAGATAAATGGGGTAACATTGGCATGGTTTGCACTCTCTGTACATCACATTATCTGCACTTATTTGTGGAATACCGGCATAACATTTATGATAAAACTCATATCTGAGGAAGAATTAAATTTTTTTAAACTACACCTGCATAATTCACTTAGCCACCAGGTTGCTAAGCAACAACACTAGCCACTTTAAACTGCTGGAACTGCTTTTTGGTGGAAGAATTTGCTCATGGAAAAATGTTTGGGTCTGCTTCATAGCTGTGGTTATGTAGCAAATCACAGCTGTAATGTTATTCTGGATAACACACTCCCTCTTGTGTTCTATTGCTTGATTATAGACATGTTCACAGACTTCCTTTAAAAATAAGGGTTTCTAAATGGGTCTTTACTTGGGTGAACAGTTCTAGGGAAAACCTTTAATTGGGACAATGGCTGGGACACATTGAATGGCAGACTGTGGACCAGCCTTCATACTGTATGATGGTAGCAGTATGAGTTTTCTCTGAGCACAGCTGTGCATTCGCTCTGTTCTCTGAGGACAACAGAGCAAGGATTAACATTCAATCTGTGGCCTGCTAGCAAGGCCATTATAAACCATCCCTTAGGGCCCCCAAGCCACAATGGGCCCCACAAGTATGTCTATAATTTTTCTGTTGTTTTTGTCAGTCATAATTGTTTGCAATTACACTGTAATTTATTTGTATTAATTTATACCATTTTATCTGGTATTCTAAAATAAATGGTCTATTCATGTAGAGGTTAGAAGAATTTATGAACCACTTTTCGTCCTCGCATTGAGAATAACATGATTGGGAGGATTTAGGGACCCCCATATTTTCAGAAACGGCCCTGCCTTCTAGTCTGTCATGGCTTCTGCAATACAGCAGCAAGATGGTATCAAAAGCACGACCCCTATTGCAGTCAACTTAAAGGGGAATTCCACTAAAACTTTAAAATTTGTGCACACTTTAGTGGCTGTGATGTAAACAAAGTCATTCAGAGTGTTTTAATGGAGAAACCTATAGACTTTGGATTTCTTCACAGTGCTGGTGATAGGAACCAGGGGTTACGATGTCTACAATGTAGTTATAGACATTTTATTTACTATGCAAAACACCCAGTGAACTTAAACGTGTCTTTGAGTTATAAGTCTTACTTGATGGCCATAAAAAGGTGGTAAATCTGGGCTATGATGATCTGCATACCTCTCCACCATCAATATAATAAATGTTTTACACTAAAATCATATCTCAAAACAATGTCTAAGGAAATTGAACATTGTACTCATAACCATTTCATGAAATAACTTTACCTTCTAGAGGCATTAAACTCTTCAGACGCCTGGTTCCGATCACCACCACTGTAAACAAGTTATAGACAACAAGTTATCTAGAATGGAGCATTTCACATCAAACCACTCTGAATGACTTTATTTAAATATTAATGATTGAATTATGTAGAGATGTTAAAAACTTGTATGTTGTAATGGATTTTGGTTAATTAATTCTGGGTAAATAGTACAGTTTATAACAGCAAATAGGCAAAATAAGCAAAAATGTTAAAATATAGCCATTTCATTCATTTCACACTGCTATGTGTGTGTTTGTCTCTTTGTTCAGGCCCAGAAATGGGGGTAAGTACTGCGTTGGACGTAGGATGAAGTTCCGCTCCTGCAACTCTGAGCCATGTTCTAAGCAGGACCAAGACTTCAGAGAGGAGCAGTGTGCCACCTTCAACGGGCGCCATTTCAACATCAACGGTCTACCTCCAAACGTGCGCTGGGTGCCCAAGTACAGCGGCAGTAAGTGGCCTTTGTTTTTTTTGCTTTTCAGCATTTAATGACTGTGAGGTTAAAGTTTAGTCTTTTGGGCAGTTGGTCCATATGTATCTGCTTTTGAAGGGAGCTAGCTATATATATGAGGGTTAGGAGTAGGATTTGGGTTGAGGTTAGGGTTAGGGTTAGGATTAGGGCCAGGGTTAGGGTTAGGTTTTGCATAATGGAAGTAACATATTAACAACACATCTACTTAATGTAAGTAATGTATCAATAGAACATCTACAAGATATTTATGATATATTAATGTATTCAGATGCTTTACTAAAGCTTCTTCACTGATATGTTGTTGATGTTACTTATGATCTGTTAGGAGTTTATTAATCATCTACAAAGGACCACTCCAAACAAAGTGTTTTCGCTTTAGTAGCTGTACAAGATAAAATGTCTAATGAGAGGTTCAAGGTATTTGTACCTAATAAAACCTCATTAAAAAAATAAATAGCTCCAAATGATCTTCTATGGTCAGAGTTGTTTTCTGAAAATGACCCAGTGTCTGTTTTTCTGCTTTTCAATGTGTTGCTTCAGTTCTAATGAAGGATCGCTGTAAGCTCTTCTGCAGAGTGGCCGGCAGCACAGCCTACTATCAGCTCAGGGACCGCGTCATCGACGGCACGCCATGTGGCCCCGACACCAACGACATATGTGTGCAGGGCCTGTGCAGGGTGCGTAGTGGTGATTTTAGATCAGTATTTTCTACCAAACAGTGAAGCAGCATAACATCACAGTCTTAAGAATGCCTAATAACATTGGCTGCACGTTATATTGTGTATATAGTAGAAATCATCCAAAATTTCTTCCAAAAAAATATTGTTAAAGTTTAAAGTTGTATGCAAAAGTTCAGGCCCCCCTGGTCGAATGACATGTTGTGTTGGTTTTTGATGATTTAAGTGAAAATAAGGTAACACATCCTCTACAGAGGGCACACTTATGCACATTTTAATACAAATTTACTGTTTTTTTTGCTGAATTTGCCATATTAGAGAAAAAAAACACAATATGTGGCTTGTGCAAAGGTTATAGCACATTTGATATGTTCTAATTTTTTTCTAATATGTCAGATTAACTTATTTTCACTTAGAAAGTCAACAAAATGACATTTGACTGGGAGCGTTCAAACTTTATACACATGCAGTTTTAATTTTATTCTTCATTAATGTAACACAGTTATTGATTGTTAAAACTACTATTAAGTTGTATGCCCCTTGAGTTTACAGTCCTCAAATCATAATCCCTGATACACTGTGGTAGAACGCAATTTATGATGTTTTGTATGGACGGTGATACTGACTTCATTCTCTTCCATATTTGCACTCTTCTGCAGCAAGCGGGATGTGACCATGTTTTGAACTCCAAGGCCAGGAGAGATAAATGCGGAGTGTGTGGGGGAGACAACTCCTCCTGCAAGACTGTAGCAGGCACTTTCAACACAGTGCACTATGGTAGGTTTACTTCAGATGCATTTGGTTGAATCGAATGTAACTGGGTTTACTTTGGTTCAGATCAGTTTATCTCGTCTCTTCAATGCAGTTAAGCCTATTAACAATATAATATCTACAGCTTTAGCCTGATTTTATTACCTTGTATGGTTTTCACTGGTTTATAAGCACTGTAAGCACGAATTCATGTCACATGCCTGGGTTGAAGGGGAACTTGACCAATTATTCTTAAATTTGTGCATAATAAAATTATTAAGATGTAAAGTCATTTAGAGTGATTTAATGTGAAATGCTCCATTTAGAGAAACTTACCAAGTGGTGATCCAGACATCCAAAGTGTTTAATGTCTCTAAAATCTCTTTCATGAAAGCTATAAAATGGAATGACTATGAATGTATTGTCTGATGCCACTGAGACAGTGTTTTACGATAGTTTTGAGATAAAATTTTGACTTAAAATGTATTTTTTTTAAATACAGATACATGCAGGGCATTGTGAGGCAAAATAGCACCCAAAGAAAATGTATTTTATTCAGATCTACCACTATTCTACAATACATTGACTGGTCATTTTGGGTAATAAATAAAAAGGCAGCGAAGACATTGCGACCCCTGGTTCCTCCTACTTTCTGAATGACTTACATCTCAGTGGTCAAATTATGATGTGCTGAGATTTCATTTGGTCATCTGTCCTCTAGGTTACAACGTAGTGGTGCGTATCCCCAGCGGTGCTACTAATATCGACGTGCGACAGCACAGCTACTCAGGGAAACCACAGGATGATAACTACCTCGGTGAGTCAACCTCAGAGAAATGTGAACCTTCACTTAGCAAATCATTCGCCTATAGTTAAACGATATTCTCAGCAGATGCAGCCAAATGAATGAGTCTTAAAGTACATAAAAGTGACTGTCGGGTCCCCAAAAAGGCAAAGTTAATTTGTCTGAAATTACATTTTACAAATTAAAGGCCTTAAGTATTAAAGTGTCCTTCATTTATGTGGTCATAGATTTCCGGATACAAACAGGTGTGCTTTTTTTAAGAATATATCTGAGGTCCATAGGACATGCATAAGCAGTAAGCAATGCTTGATCACTTATGTACAGCTTATGTCAGAATTTGCTATATGACGTTTCATAAAGTAAATAGCATTGTAATGACATGGTGTTCTTAACTAGGCCTTATAAGTTACTTCATTAATAACACTGTTATAAATTAAACAAATCACTGCTGTCGGAAGAAAACCTCGTATCTCCATTTTTCAGTTTTTGACATAATTTGAAAATACCTTTAGCCCTTTACATTATGTGCAAATTTCATGATGAACGGACCAAAAGAAACGGCCCAAAATAATGGAAAAAATTCTGGTTCCATTGACTTACATTAAAAGTAAAGTATGTTTTTTGCTTCTCCTGTAAAGTCATAATTTTGGCGATACAAGGTTTGACATGTTTGTCACTTTAGTATAAGAGCCTTTATGCACTGTTATATGTTATATGTCAATACAATACCAGGACACGTTTTATGTCATCTCGCAAATACTTACGTAATTTGTTAATAAATGCTTAAATATTGTATTTTCAATGCATTATTCAGTGCTAATGCATGCGTTATGTTCTCCATTCAGTTCTCCATTGTGCAATTCCCAGTGCTGAATTAACACCTGTAGATTTGAATGAACTCTTAACAGTGTTCATTTATGTCCAGCTGGACTTCATTCCACACTCTAAGGTGTTAATTCTACACTGAGGGCTTTCAGCACGGAGTGGCATGCGATTGGTTCCAGACGTTTCTCACGAACCAAAAGTGCCCAGCTGACAGTGCTGCAGTCTAGTCGACTATCTGCCATAGTGTGACACGTGAGAGGCTGCACGAGTCGTTGCAAGGAGCTTGGTTGGAAGGAGGTTTATTTGGGGGAAAGGGCGAGGACCGCTTGCAGCCGGTGGTCTGAGAAGCAAGAGCAGCTAAGGCTTAGAGTGTGCCAAGCACATGCTTGCGTGTTAATGGGCCGGAACTTTTCGGAAGCCTTGGGGGGAAGACCTTGTCCTCAGCTTGTAGCTTGAGTAGGTCATTGTGCCCCGGAGACGACAGCGGTGTATGTGCCTGTGTTTGAGCTTGAGTGCGCGTATTTAGCTCCATGTGGGGACTTGATATGCCCGTGATGAACGAAAGCATGGACATTATGTTATTGTTAGGGCTTTTGTCCGGTCCTTATTAGGATAAATGATGATCTTTTACCTTACACAGTAGCCATAATAAACAGTTTGCGCTGTTTTGAAGGACCCTCAGTTGAACTATGCAGTATATTTTTTCCTCAATAATGTTGATTTTTGAGTATGAAAAGTGTATGATTTAGAAAACAGTGGATCAGATCCTCATTTAAATGGTTATAAAGTACATTTGTACATTTTTAAAAGCATTTTAATTATGATTAAATGCATTTTTTATTACTGTGGCAGTAGTACACAATTTTTTAGTATGGAAAAAAGCATTGCTGTCTGTTTTCTCTCAAGATGGCCGTCTTTATGGAGACATCTGAATTGTTTTTAACAACAGAAGATTCTCACTCCTTATTGCTCGCTAGCAGCTCAACCCAGAGTCACAAAATTTCACACATAGCGAGACAACAGTGTCCTAGTTGAGCTAATAACAGATTTACAGGGAAAAAAAATATATTTTGATTATGATTATCAGCTAAAAATGTCTGAATCGATTTCCATTATTCCAGGATTGGCCACTAGGGGACCTGCAGAAAAGTTCTTTTAATTTTGTGCTATTTTTTGCTCTTCACTGTATTGTTTACACTGCTTTATTGTTAAGCTGTATTTGCATGTATGAAAAGGGTTATACACATAGTTATTTACAAAAACATAGGCCAAAAATTTTGCTTTGATTCCAGAGATTAAAGTTAGAGTTGGGTTGGGTATTGCCTTACCAATTTTTAGAGACACAGTAATACAGAAGCCAATGGAAATGCCCAACAAAGAGAGGAATACAAAGTTTTATGTGTGCTTTTGAGGGTCCGTGCACACAAACGGGAAAAAAGGGGATTGTGGGAAGGGGCTGGGCTCTGTGATGTGTGAAATGGTGAGGAAAGTAACGCAGGAAATAAGCTACATAATCGCATTAGTGTGAATCTGTGCACTAGACTGACTGCAGCACAGGAAGACTCAGCCCCTCTGAGGAATGCTGCACTACTTTAACCCAATTAGCTTCATCTTCCCTCTCAATCGCCAAGCCTTACAATCAATGGAAACGTTCACTGTTTCTGTGAGGCCAGGCTTAAATGCATAGCGAGACAAATTTAGTTTGCAGCAAGTGGATAATTCCTCAGAGCTTTTACTTAAGACTTAAATGCTCTTTCTAATAGTTTATCTGTCCCAAACAGAAACTGAGCACCCAAGCCTGAACACGACGACTGCTACCACCTGTTTCAACCTAAGTTGATCTTGGACTTCATTAGACTTAGTCTCGGACCGAGAGTTTATACAGTTGACCAGTTTTTCACACTGGATAAAGGCTAACATTGGATCAAGTTACGCCGCCAATTCTCTATTTAAAGTCCTTTTTAATCCAAGACAAGGCTTAATCTGTGTCCAGAAACCTGGTCCATTGAGTTTTCATTTAAATTCCAGAGTAACGTCCCTCTGTCTTTGCTCCCCAGCCGTGGCCAACAGTCGTGGAGAATATTTACTCAACGGAGATTTTGTGGTCAGCATGTTTAAAAGGGAAATCAAAGTAGGGAACGCCATTATAGAGTACAGCGGCTCTGACCACGTGATCGAGAGAATCAACTGCACTGACCGCATCGAGGAGGAGATCGTCGTCCAGGTAAGGATGCTACGTTTTTGCCATTTCGTTCATAATGGATCATAAATCTAAACAGACTTTCTGTAGTTAACTTGATCAAAGTTTCAAGGATGTTTTCTGGCTATGTCATTAAATCATTAAACACTGTTTTATAGAAAAGTATTTGCATGTAATATGCCTATAAAGTTCAGACACCTCCCTTCATTCACTTTATATCCAGTCAAAATGGCCATTAAGTACAAGTTCATTTTTCAGTAGATATTTCTGAGGAGATTAGATGTAAGATATTCCACTTGCATAAAGAATGGGGGGAAATAAGTGAAAAAAGAGAGGTTCCCGAGCTAGACTTTAAAAAATGATTAGAAGGTATAGAAAAAATAGGACTCCTAACAACCATGCAAGACCTGGTAGACACCGAAACCCCATTAGATAAAAAGTACTTTCATCTTTGAGAGAGAGGAGAAAATCAAGCTGCTTCAGATCTGAAAACATCCACATGTGTTTCTGTCCATCCTTCCGCTGTGAGAAGACAACTCAGCACTATGAGTCTGAAATATATTTTGCTGTCAAGAAGCTGTTACAGAGAAAAGGAAACAAAAAACAACATTTGTGAATCAGTTAAATTGCAGAAAATACAACCAACTTCTAAGACTGAACTTTAGATATACATATATACACGTAAACAATGTCATTAAGCTCAGTCTACAAGTATCGGGTATATATTTATGTATTTATTCTTTTTACTCATGTAATAATAATTTGTTTCTTTGATTGCAGGTGCTATCTGTAGGTAACCTCTACAATCCAGATGTCAGGTATTCCTATAACATCCCCATAGAGGATAAGACTCAGCGGTTTATCTGGGATGCGTACGGCCCGTGGCAGGAGTGTAGCCGCCTGTGCCAAGGTAAGAAACAATCTTCCAATCTGAATTGTTTATCACATGACGTTTCCTGTTTCCACCATTTCCCTAGTCATTATTGCCATTGCCAGTTTATACACACCTTCCAAGCTAAATTATTTGTCAAATTATGTTTCCTTTTTCAACATTTTCCTAGTTGTTATGTCTACAGCTACTGACAGCTGAGCTAAACTTTGCAAAGTCAGGTGCTCAGTACAGACAGAACCAACCTACCTCAGCTTTGGTCTGTGTTCTTGGCTTGAAGGTTAGGATCAGAATTAGGGTTATGGTTTGGATTAGGGTTATGAAAGCAGCATAAATCGTATAGCTAGGCTTTAATAAATGTTTGGTTGAAGGTTGTTTTTCAAAATAAGTATGCTTGATTTCTGGAGTCTCCACCATGTTTGCCAGTATCCTGTCGGGGAAGTAGTCTGATGGGGTCTTTGAGGTCATTGAAAGCAAAGAAGCTCTGAACTTGTGGTGCAGACAGTCCAAACATCTGGGCTTCAGTTTTCCACCCAGATCTCTGGCCCGCCTTCACAGCCTCTTACAGCCAAGTGCTGGGAATCTAATGGTCCAGAGTTAGTGTACGCACCATTACATGTACCTCCGCTTATTTAAGAACAGGCCAGAGAGATTGTGGAGCTATCACTGGGCAAGCTCGCTTAAATTGACTTAAAATGAATTTTGGCTGTGTTGACATTCAGTCATTCATTCATTCATTCATTCTTTCTTTCTTTCTTGCAGGTGTGAGTATTACCGTGTATATACATATCCCTCCTAAAATAGAGATCTTTATTTTTGTCTTTATTTTTGTTGCACTGCTCAGGTGAACGTAAGAGGAAGATCCTGTGCAGTCGTGAGTCTGACCGTGTGGTGGTTTCAGACCAGAGGTGTCACGGCTCACCTCGACCTGCCGCCATCACAGAACCATGCAACACAGACTGTGAACTCAGGTATTCAACCAGTTAAGCCAAATAAGGTGCAGTGAACTTTTAAGGCCTGCTAGTCTCAGCTTGAAATATTTGTCTGAATCTGCCAACATTAGACTGTAAAATACAATTGCTGTTTTAAAAAGTGAGTTAGCAGGTTGGGTTTATTTTGGGTTAATAAAACTTGTACTAATGAAAGTTAAAAGAGCTAGAAACTGTTACTTAAATTCTGTCGAAGGGCTACATTCGTGTTTAGGCACAGTTCTATTGGGCTACAGTCAGGTTTAGACAGTTTTGTTGGGTTACAGTCGAGTTTAGACAGAATTTTGCTGGGTTACAGTTGGGTTTAGACAGAATTTTGCTGGGTACAGTTTAATTTAGACAGAATTTTGTTGGGTTACAGTCAGGTTTAGAGTAAATTTGTTAGGTTACAGTCAGGTTCAGATGCAATTTTGTTAGGCTACAGTCAGGTGTAGACAGAATTTTGGTGGGTTACAATTGAGTTTAGACATTTTGTTAGGCTAGAGTCAGATTCAGATGCATCTTTGCTAGGCCGAAGTTGGTTTTAGACAGAATTTGGTTGGGTTACAGTTGGTTTTAGACAGAATTTGGTTGGGTTACAGTTGGGTTTTGACAGAATTTTGTTAGGCTTTAGTTGGGTTCAGATGCATCTTTGTTAGGCTACAGTTGGGTTTAGGAAGAATCTTGATGGGTTGCAGTCAGATTCAGACAGAATTTTGTGGGGCCGCAGTCAGGTTAGGACAGATTTTTTTTGCCCTGTTTGTTGTGCTGGGTCAGAGGCCCATAACATTTTTCTTCATGTGACAGGTGGCACATCGCCCGTAAGAGTGAGTGTACAGCTACGTGCGGACTGGGCTACCGCACCCTGGAAATCTACTGTGCAAAACACAGCCGAACCGACAGCAAAACCCAGAAGGTTGACGACCGATACTGCAGCAACCAGCGCAAGCCTGATGACAAGGAGGTTTGCCATGGAGACTGTAACCCTGGAGGCTGGGAATATTCACCCTGGTCAGAGGTGAGGGAGCTAATTTCTGATCAAGCCCTATCATGTTCTCTGCATAAACCATTCAACTCAGCAGGTCCAAGATCTGGACAAGGATAGCTGTAGCTGGACTAATATCCTGAACATGAATTCCAGCCTTAAGGTACCCCAAAAATCATAGCTTAAAAAAACTATGCTGAAAAATGAATTGTTAAATGTTTTTGTATATTATTGTTATGACCAATAAACTACTAAAAATGGCAAGTGAGCATCACTAAACCTCAACACTCATTAAGAATGCAAAGATCCATAAAAATGCCCCATTACGCCAATTGTAAATGCCCCCTTGCTGCCTTGTTTCTAAACCCCACTCCCTCTTCCATTGCCAGAGCAGAAATAAGCATAAGCTCCCACTTTAACTTCTGTCTGAAGTCAGCACCAGTGACTCGACTTCACTCGCTCAGATTTGTGTCTTTATCCTCTAAACTTGCCTCAGGTCAGCACCAGAATTGCTGGTTTAGCCTTCTCGCTAAGCTAACATTAGCATCTGATGCTAATGTGGATATGACTCAAAAGTAGCTTAAGCTAACAGCTCCACACACAAAAACACGGGTTCACTGGCTCACATTTGAGTCATTATCTTCTAAACCTGCTTCAGTGAGTCTTTATTAAGCTGGAATGAACCTGTGTGGTTGTGTGTAAAGCTGTTTAGGCCTTTTTTCTACATGAACGTTAGCTTCCAGTGCTAATGAGGATATTGAAGGAAGAGTAGCTTAAGCTAACAGCTAAACACACAGGTTTACCCACTCAGATATCCACTACACCTGCATCAGTGAGGCTGTATTGAGCTGAAATAAACCTACATGGTTATGTGTGAAGCTGTTTAGGCCTTATTGCTAAGCTAATGCTAGCTTCCAGTGCTAACGGGGGTACTGAAGCAAGGATAGGTGAAGCGAACTTAGCCAAAATGAACCTGTGTTGTAAGGTGGAGCTTTAAAATGTTAAGCCTTGCACCATATTTGACAGTTTACTATGTGAAACATAAATTAGACACCATCATAGATTTCTTAAGTAGCTAACAGCTTATTGCAGTCCAGACATTTCAAACAGCTAAGCTACATTAAAGCAGGCATCTTCTAGTTTTAGTATAATGGACTGTGAGAGGCTCAAGCTCATTTGTGACAAACAAAGCTAACCTGCTACTGAGCACACCATGAAACGCTTTTTTGGGATGTACTGTGATACATTTGACATTTCTCTCTACACCGACCAGTAACACTGATGTGGTGGTGGTGTGTTAGTGTGTGTTGCGCTGGTCTGAGTGGATCAGACACAGCAGTGCTGCTGGAGTTTTTAAACACCTCAGTGTCACTGCTGGACTGAGAATAGTCCACCAACCAAAAATATCCAGCCAACAGCGCCCTGTGGGCAGCGTCCTGTGACCACTGATGAAGGTCTAGAGGATGACCAGCACAAACTGTGCAGCAGCAGATGAGCTATCGTCTCTGACTTTACGTCTACAAGGTGGACTGACAAGGTAGGAGTGTCTAATAGAGTGGACAGTAAGTGGACACAGTGTTTAAAAACTCCAGCAGCACTGCTGTGTCTGATCCACTCGTACCAGCACAACACACACTAACACACCGCCACCACGTCAGTGTTACTGCAGTGCTGAGAATGATCCACCACCCAAATAGTACCTGCTCTGTGAGGGTCCATGGGGGTCCTGACCACTGAAGAACAGGGTAAAAGGGGGGTAACTAAGTATGCAGAGAAACAGATGGACTACAGTCTGTAATTGTAGAACTACAAAGTGCACCTATATAGTAAGTGGAGCTGATAAAATGGACAATGAGCATAGAAACAAGGAGGTGGTCATAATGTTATGCCTGATCGGTGTATGTAGTCATAATAAGCTATCCAGGAGAAGGTAACCATTTAAAAAAAGCACATTTTTAAGTGGAGGAGGTCTATTAAAGGAATAGTTTGATGAGAAATTAAATTACACAGCTTTCCGTTATCCCTAAATATATGCTAGTTGTGTATGTAATTGGGCAAAAAATGGAGAAAAAAATTCAGGCTTAAGATGACCACTGGTTTTTAGCAATGAAACACATGAATATGAAACCACATACACACATACACAACAACATTCAAGAGTATTTAGCAACTTGACATGATTTGAGGCATGATTTTAGGCTTCTTGGTGCGAATTCTTGGTCATACACTTCCATTACTTGTTAGCTACATTAGCCTCATAGCTGCAGTACAAAACCAAAAAAGCGGACTTCAGACACCAAACACATCTTGACTGATCAACTACAATCTGTGCAAGAGGGCAGTTATGTAAATTAGATTTTTTGCTGAGTTTTCACTTTAGCCGTTGAAAGAGACCAGCAGATCAGCAGTTCTCTCTCCTCCTCTAAACGTCTGAGGAGAAGTCGAGCACTGAGTCTTTGTTTGTTTGTGCGATTACTTTGTTTAGTGCTCTAAAAGCTGCGGAGGTGGAACACGACGCCGGAGCGCGGTGTGCGGAAAGTCGTCTGAGGATGATGATGATGAGAGCAAATGCAACTCGAGAGACAAGCTCACTGTCCAGCCCTGCAATGAGTTCCTGTGTCCACAGTGGAAGACTGGGGACTGGTCAGAGGTAACACTGTAACACAACATTCACGCTTTCCTGAAGTCTCAATATATAGCTAATGTGAAAGTCTGAAGTGAAACCTTACCAAGCATCTATGATCCACAGTCCAGGAAAGCATTGCTTATGTATATATCACTGCTGTCGGACCAAAACCTTGTCTCCATTTTTCAGTTTTTGTCATAATTTGAAAATGCCTGCTGTCCTTTATATTGTGTGTAAATTTGAAGGTAAATGGACTAAAAGAAACGGGGAAAAAAGTCTGGTGCCATTGACTTACATTAAAAGTAAAGTAGGTTTTTTCCTTCTCCTGTAAAGTTAGTAAGTATTTTGGAGTTACGAGGTTTTGGTCCAAGAGCAGTGATATGTTAATGTAATTATTTAAAATTTGACATGTCCATGCTATGACAGAAAGTGTGTCGTATAGCTAAAAACAGTGGTAGCAGTTACACTATATGGCCAAAAGTCTGTGAACACCTCTCCATAATATTGAGTTCAGGTGTTTTATCTACACCCCTCACTAACAGGTGTATAAAATCAAGCACAAAGCCATTCAGTCTCCAAAGACCAGCACTGGCAGTAAAATGGGTCGTACTTAAGAGCTCAGTGTCTTTAAACATGCCATTGTCATAGGATGCCACCTTTGCCACAAATCAGTTCATGAAATTTCCTCTTTGCTAGATCTGCCCCAGTCAACTGTAAGTACTACTATTGTGAAATAGCAGTATCTAAGAGCAACAGCAGCTCAGCCACGAAATAGTAGCCTATGTTCTGCTGTTGCGTCACTCACTGTAGGGTTCCAAACTACTTCTGGAAACAAAATCAACACAAGAACTGTGTGTCAGGAGCTTCATGAAATAAGTTTCCATGACCAAGCAGCTGCACACAAGCCTAAGATCACTATGCACAATGCCGAGCAGCGGCTGGAGTGGTGTAAAGCACGCCGCCACTGGACTCTGGAGCAGTGGAAACGTGGCCTCTGGAGTGATGAATCATGCTTCACTATCTGGCAGTCTGGTGGATGAATCTGGGTTTGGTGAATGGCAGAAGAATGCTATCTACTGGAATGCATAGTGCCAACAATAAAGTTTGGTTGAGGAGGGATAATGGGCTGGGGCTGTTTTTAAAGGTTTGGGCCCTTTATGTCCAGTTCAGGGGGATTTTAATGCTACATCGTACTAAGACATTTTACACAGTCATACATTTCCAACTTTGTGGTAGTACTTTTGCGGAAGGCCCTTTCCTGTTCCAGCATGACTGTGCCCCTGTGCATCTCCATAAAGACATAGTTTGACAGGTTTGGTGTGGAGGAACTCCAGTGGCCTGCACAGAGCCCTGACCTCAACCCCTCTGAACACCTTTCGGATGAATTAGAACGTGAGCCAAGACTTCTCATCCAACATCATTCTCATCCAAAATGTCCTTTTGACTAAATGGGCACTAATTCCCGCAGACACTCTCTAAAGTGGGGGGCCACTTCATATTAATGCCCATAGTTTTGCAATGGGAAGTCCAGTGAGCTGATATAGTTGTGAATGTCAGGTGTTCACATGTTTATGGCCATAATGTGTATCTTCAAGCTAGAATTTGGACTGTACTTTTGTCCAGTTTTATAAATAATAGTGTATTATACAGTGTCAGAAACCACACAATGAAGTCTATTTGAGATTACCTAAGAGCTCAGCATGGTTTGAGCCAACTATATTCCATCTGGGCTCGTTTGGCAGTGCCTTGTGACATGTGGAAAGGGCTACAAGCACCGGCAGACATGGTGTCAGTTTGGAGAGGACCGGCTAGACGACCGTTTCTGTGACTCGTCCAAACCGGAATCAGTGCAAGCATGTCAGCAGCAGGAATGTGCGTCCTGGCAGGTCGGACCCTGGGGACAGGTGAGTACAGCCAGGCATTCTCACTATTTTGTTCAGTTGTCAGTCCAGTATTTTCTAAAGGGAAATTCCACCAAGTTTTCAACTTTTAATTTTTTTTCAAATGTTGTAAACCAGGTAATTTAGGGTAGTTTGATATGAATTGATTAATTATAAAAAATCTAACTGACACAGATTTCTTTACAGTGGTGATGATATAAACCAGGGGTCACAATGTCTTTTTATATTTAATGTTTCATTTTAAAATACATTTTTTGCAAAAACTTTATCCAAGAACTACAATAAAACAGCGGCACACATTTGAAACCTTTTTAATGCCGTAACTTTCCACGAGGACGCTTTTAGAGCCATTAAATTCAGACGTCCGGTTCCTATCACTACCACACAAATTCTGACTTAGTCAGTGGTACCACCTTTATAAAGGATTTATGAATGGTTTAAAATTATTAATTGTTATTAATTAGATCATAAACACAAAAATCAGTTAAAACATGTAAATACCAAGGGCAACAGTGAGTGTTTATATCATAAATTTAATGTTTGATGAAGCCAACAGGTTTAATGCTGACAGATGGACAGGACAAAGTAAAATAAGTGGGTTCACTATTTGGCAAGCAGGTGCCCTTGTTGTTCTTTATGTATTATGTTTATGACCTAATTAATAACCACTAATAAACTGACCCTTCATAAACCTTTTATAAGGGTAGTGTTATTGTAAAGTGGCACCTCGTAGGTTTTTCAGACCAATCTGAATGAATTATTTATTATCTTATTATTATTTATTATCTTAATAAATTTGGACAAAAATGAACTTTGAATAAAGATGTCAAAGTTGTGCTGATTGTATGTGAATTTTAAAGTTTCATATCTGTTGTGGTGTCATAAAGCCATAAAGTGTTTGCTAAAAAGTTGCACGTGTTGGAACTGCAAATCTGCCTCCTGTAGATTAACAAACTGAACACATGCAACAAGAAATCAAGCTTGAAGATCCAGTTGCTTTGTTCATAGCCGTGATTCAGTGAACCTCAAATATTGGGTAATGATTACGTAACAAAGCTGCTTTGAGCTCTTAAAGACTTGTAAAAGTACTAAACATTATTAGTCACAAAATCACACAGTATGGCTTTTAATTTACAAGAATCGTTTGATATTTAGTGTATTTATGATAAAGACAGCCAGTGATGACTGGTTACCATGATCTCCATAAGTTCCATAATATTAACTTGGCATTAGCAGTGTAAAGTGATAGTTAAGCAGTAAATCAACCATTATACGGCATACTCTTATCTAAAAATTGGACATGTTGTGTAGTATTAGCCGCTTTGAGGTCTGTTTACATTTTGATTTTTCATTTCTATACATAACAATATGTCATACAGTGTAAGAAACTACATAAGCAAATCTATTTGAGTTAATTTAACTCAGCTTTGAGGTACGTATGCATGCAGTTTGCATAATGCTAACTAGTGGCTATGATCTTCCATTACTTCTTAGCTACCATAGCCATGTAAAACCAAAAGGGTAAATATTGGATTAACATTTCTAGGTGTACAAAATGCTGGCGTGAAGTCGTTGTCCAGTGTGAGATACAGTAGGCTTCTGTCCTGATTTACATCGTGTGAAATGTCCTCTGGTGCGGATTGAGGTTTACACTAATAAAGAGCGAAGCCAAAACCAGCATAAACAATTGGCTGTATACAGTATCCCATCTGCACGTTATGTGCGCATCGTGAGCATAAGCAATTTATGTCTGTGGACAACATCTTAAATAGATGAGCTATAGCAGAAAATATCTGCCTCAACCCCAAATATGGAACGCTGCGATCAAAAGCCACAAAAAAAGAGAGGAACCGGCTCTCGGAAGTCCGAAAGTATGATGGAGATTAGATGCTCCTATAGCGTGGAGTAAGCAATCACTTTAAACGTATGTTTGAAGGCGTTAAATGAAGCTTGTGGAATTCGAGCGGAAAACAACGCCACACAAGCTTGACCTCATTTCACTGAAGTCAATGAGGGGGAAAAGGAATGGGAGAAAATGGCACAGGTAGATGAAAAGAGAGATGACTGGCTTGTTGTGCTTATCACTTCTTACTGTTCCTGAACCGAGGCTTGCCAAGGGAAACTGCTTTTAATATGCATTAGTTCAAATGATTGAAAGCACTTACAGACTGTAAAGACTAATTTGGAGTTTTAGCTTAAAAAAGTAAGTAACCTTCAAATTTGAATTTTATTATGCATCAAAATAATGAGATAACATAATGTAATGTGGAAACTTGGTGTGCTCTAGCTGCTTCAAATACAGTCATGTACAAAAGTTTGGGCACCCCTGGTCAAAAGATGTTTTGTTAATTTTCTACAAGAAAATAAGTTAACAGGCATATTTTAGTGCACAATTACTGTTTAATTGCTTTATTTGCTGAATTTAACATATTAAATGTGACCGGTGCAAAAATGATGGCATATTGTACATTTTACATTTTTATTTTTTCTGATATGTTAAACTCAGAGACATGACCACCTCACAACAACCGAATTGTATATTACTACGCCACTGCACTGTGCTGTAGTTTAAACTGAGGGGCTGACAACTTATGTTCTTAACTAGAACTAAGCTGGTCAGCTAGCTAACAGGCTAAAAGATATAAAACAACCTAATCAACTTCATCATTAATATCACAGGCTTGAATTAAAGTACTTACAGTGTGATTAACTGTAAAACAGCAGTATAAAAGTCTGAAAAATGTCACTTGAATGGATTACACACTTCAAATGTTCGTCTTTCAGTTAGAGATACCGTCAAACCTAGGCTGAATCCCAAACGGCTCCGTACTCCCTAAACAGTGTGCTAGTTATTAAAGTTTGGAAATTCTAGCCTCCACAGCCAAAAAATGCATCATTTATCACGGGTAGGGAGTTTTAAGAGAACCCTTCCCATGATAAAATCTCAGTAACGCACAGCCTCTCATGGCTTATTGGTTTAATGTAGTCTTTAAAGATCTTTACACTTTATAAGCAGCTGGAGTACCACCGCTTCAATAATGCTAATTTCTACTAGCACTTCTATGATCAAATTACCAACAAATTATTTAGCAGATTCATCAAGATTATGAGTTTCTATTAATTATAATCTATTTTAATTGAGGAATATGAAAGCTATATTATAAATTACAAACTAGATATTTATGTTTTATTCAATATTTCGTTTTTTGAGGGGGACATCAACAAGTTGTTAAATGCTACATAAAATACTGTAATTTTCAGTTTTTTAGTAATGTCTTGTTTGCCTTGAGATCTGCTAACCACTTTTGCCACTTTTTTATGAGGCATTCTAGATATTAATTTCATTAGAGCTTAATTCTTGATGGTAAATATCTTTGTCAGTTACTATAGAAAGTTTTTACATGTGTATATGCAATAACCTGGAGGTTGATTTTGAGCAATAATTCATCTCTCTTTCTCTTTAGTGTACCACCACATGTGGTCCTGGCTATCAGATCAGAGCAGTGAAGTGTGTGGTGGGCTCGTACGGCTCCGTCATGGACGACACCGAATGTAACGCTGCGACGCGGCCGACTGACACGCAGGTAAGAGATTGCCTGAGTGAGTGTGAGAGTGTGTGTGTGTGTGTGTATGTGTGTTTGTGTGTGTTGGTCAGTCATTCCTGCCATATACATTATGATCTACCAACTGCCTTAAACCCTTAAGGCCTTGGAGCTCATTTGTGGGATCATTTCAGTTCCTCACAATGACTTCTTTACATCTTTTATAGAAGCAACTGAAGAATAAATCATAAGACTAGTAACTGGGTGAATAAGACCACAGTTTAAACATGGCAAAGCCAAGACTAACGCTCAGGTATCTAAATCAGCTGTTATTCTTTTCAAAAACTTGTTATATCCACAATTGTTTCAAATAGATTATACGGCATCTTAGAATGATACTCTTAATATATAGAGGGAGACTGAGAAGAGGAAGGGAGAAATGGGAAGATCACGAGAGGTACAGAGAGAAAAGAGAGAGGGAGAGAAGGAAAAAGAGAGAGAGTGGAAGAAAGAAAGAGGCAGAGAGAAAAGAGAGAGGGAGAGAAGCAAAGAAAAAGAAAGAGAGGGAGAGAAGGAAAAAGAGAGAGAAAGAAAGAGAAAGATAAGCAAAGAGAAGGAAAAGAGAGAGGGAGAGAAGCAGAGAGAAAAAAGAGGCAGAGAGAGAGGCAGAGAAGGAAAAAGAAAGACAAAGAAACTGAGAGGCAGAGAAAGAAAAAGAGATAGGCAGAGAAAGAGAGGTGGAAAGAGAGGGCAAGAAAGGCAGAGAGAGAAAGAGACAGTAAAAGAGGGCAGGAATGACAGAGAGTAAGATAGGAGAGAAGGAGAAAGAGGGAGAGAGATAGTGAGAGAGAATGGGAGAAAGAGGGAGAGAGAGAGAATGGGAGAGAGAGATAGGGAGAGTGAATGGGACAGTGAGGGAGAGCTAAAGAGATATGGAGAGAGAATGAAAAAGAGAGAGAAGGAGGAGAGAAAGCCTCCCTGTTTTAAATCCCCAGCTGTGCTGTAAGATGCAGTGACCCTGATGCAGGTCAGTTTCCCTCCGTGTGATTCCAGCCAGTCAAGCATGAAGCCCCGATACACTGCGGCCCCCAACCACCCTACAAACACTGCAGACATGGAGCTTATCTCCTCATAACAAATAAGAGAGAGAGAGAGAGAGAGAGAGAAGTTGAATGAAATTGAAACTTATGAAAAGACTCCTGATCAGAGGTATCTGAGAGCTGTCTGGGCGTGGCCTAATATTCTAATGAGCACACTTGATTGACATTCTTCTTGACTGACAGTCTGCTACACCGCTCAAGCAGAGGTGTCAGAAGCTCAGAATCAGGATTCATCAACCCAACATGTACGAATGCCTTTTCTGAGAGTCGTGCACAGGTTCAGTTTTGATTACGATGGTCGAGCGACATCAGCTTTCTGATTGGTAAACAAGCTTGCGCAAGCTTTACTCAAGGTTACGGTCACACACTTTACACTGGTAAAATCTGGCTAAGGAGACGCCCTGGAAAGTCATTCTCAGGGCTCCCTTTCTGTGTGCTTATTATGTGCCCACAAGACCAGCATTAGCCTAATTAGATACAGTCATCAATTTAGGTTGCCTGGCTTTAACCCATTAATGTCTATATCTGAAATTTTATGTTTTCTGTGGTCCGTATGTTCTCTGAGCTGGCCTGAGCACAAAAAGAGGAATTTCCATCACTTTATTTATGAAATTATATCTCTTATTTTCTTCAGAGGTCATTTGTAACAAAATAGCACAAAATCCAAACTTGATTGTTGGTAAAAGTATGAAAATTGCATATAATCAGAAATATGGGTACTGTGAGATATTCATCACAGGTATGACTCTAAAATTTTAGACCAATCAGAACATGTTATGTGGTGTATTTTCTCATCGTACTTAATTTCCAAGTTGGTTAATATTATTTCTTATTATTTCAGTGATGCTTTGGCCAAAATAACTACAAACAGTACTGGGCATAAGTCAGAGAACCCTTCATTTGTTTAATTTCCAGTCAAAAAGTTACTCGTTTTCCAGAGATATTTCTGAGGACATTAGATAGAAGACAATTCACCCATAAGGATGAAGAAAAAATGTTTTCTATTTAGTAAAAGTGCTGCTGGCGACATTAACACATAGCATTTGCCTTAGATGTAGTTTAGTTGGCTACTTGGTGCTTAATATCAACTCAGAGCTCTCTCTCTTTTTCTTTCTCCCTCTCTCCCTCTCTCTCTCTCTCTCTCTGCAGGACTGTGAAATCTCTCAGTGTCCCGTCACCCATCCTGTTTCTCCGGAGACAAAAGTGGTGCCTCATCCTGGCCATAAAACACAGTGGCGCTTTGGATCGTGGACTCAGGTACTACACTTGCCTCAGTGTATCTTAAATGATATAAAAGACTGATATAAAAATGAAATATCAATCATTGTTATAATTTTTGTATATAGTGCACATGTAAAGTGAATGAGATCATATAAATGAGGTCTTATATAAATGTCTTTCTCTGCCACAGTGTAGCGCCACCTGCGGGAAGGGCACGCGAATGCGCTATGTGAGTTGCCGTGACAACCAGGGTGGTGTGGCGGACGACTCGGCCTGTGCTCACCTGCCCAAACCCCCGGCCCGAGAGGTCTGCTCTGTAGGGGCCTGCGGTCAGTGGAAGGCCTTAGAATGGACTCAGGTACATCATCCTTGTTTTTCCATTGCTAGGCAAATATAGATGCTGCTTGTTTTCAGGCTGCTTTAACCCTTTAACGTAAGGTAAATGTATAATTTAAGTTTATATTAACTTGGTGATATATTACCCTGTCATCAGTCTGTGTCCTGAGATTCTGCACAAACTCAGCTTTTCAGTTATGAGAGGTATTAAACACAAATATTTTTTTTACTGGCGAAAAGTTTTGACAGCCAGGAAAAAAGTTAGACCGTCATTCTGTGTTCGCTGTGATCTACGGGGCCAGACAGCCCAGATGGTTCTGCAGATGTAGTGTAGATTGGCCATGGGATTTCACAGAAAGCACATTTGAAGTGAGGTGATATCTCAAAAAGTTACTTCAATTTAGAAACAAAGTGTCATGAATGTGTTAGCAGTGGGCATAGCAACAGATCACTTTTGAGGAATGATGCTCAACAAAAGTGGACTATGTTAGGAATTTGCTTCTTTCCAATTCTACATCTAGTAAATTTGACTGAGGATATGAATTCAGTCATCTATTCAGGAGCTATATAGGAAAATAAATAAATAAATTTAATTTGTAAATTGAATTTTGGTGCATTTAGTGTCAGTAGGAGCATCAGTATCAGCAGTTAGATAGCAGATATGACTTCACTGTGGCTAAACATTTCCCAAATCTAGTGTTGAACTCTGACTTTTAGAGCTAGGCCTTCACTTAAGGTCATAAATGTCAAATCTCTATCAAAAATGATAAAAAAAAACCTTTATAATGTTGCTACTTTCTGCTAGCACACCTGTGGGATTCCCAATAGTGTGTGAGCGCAAAGCTAAAGCTGGTGCACTATTTCAGGTTGTTCTAGATTAAACACATTTAAGACAATATAAAAGTTTTATTTAATGACATTTGCATATATTTTACCTTGTATGTTACAGTTTTACAGTGACATTTTCAAAACAGCCCTGTTGCTTGTTTTCACTCCTAACAACTAACTGAACCTGGTTATTCTGCAGCTTGTATTTGCACTCAGTGACGTATCTAGAACTTTCAAAAGCTCTAAATTGATGTTTTTTTCTTCCAAAAAAAAATCTAACATGAAATGCCTTCATTCCAGCCCCTGAAGGCCTAAACAATGGGAGAGCTTGCATAGCTGTATCTACCTAGATACCATGGGGGAAAAATCCTGATTGGACAATGTTCTGTTTTAAGATTTTAACCCCTTTGTTTACACCCAAACCTTATGAAATTGCAGTATTACTACAGTATTTACAGAGTTTGGCAACAAGAGTGTTGATTATATTAAACAAAAATGAACTAAAAGTTACTGACATATGTTTTTAATACACAGAAATCATAAGGCCTTCTGTAAAGCCTGAGAGTTCAGTCAGGCTTGTCCATGCAGGAAAAATAGGACTGTACAGAATGTCTCTTTGACGAGAATCAATGTCTTGACAAATCTGATTAGACACCTTAAAATGTGCATGTTGGCATTGAACGTTCACTTGTTTTACATGAGTGTTTATTTTGCTTACACTAGCACTCATAAGGCTGTAGAGAAGAGTTGTGCTGAATCATTAGAAAGCTTTGTGGCAGGCCGATATGATGTGATGTGAGAGGTTTGGGTATGTGTGTTTAAATGCTGAGAGGGAGTAGGGTAGAGGTGTTTACAGATGTTTCCCATCAGAACGAGAGCTGCGCTTATGCTCCCACTCCCCCACACACACATACACATACACGCACACCCGGGACAAGGGAGGGTCCCCCTGTTATTTATGTCAGAGATATTTAGTGTAGTGCTGCAGGAAGACATTCATTTTAAGGCCACAGAGACACCACCAACACAAAGTCTCTACAGCTAAATCCTCTCTGTGAGGAACCCTAATAGGATTTCAGTCACTGATATATTGAAGTCATACTGAAGTTCTCAGAATATGTTTTTAGGATGTGGATCATTTCTGTTACTGTGGTTTTAAGAGTTCCCATATCAGCAGAGGGGAACCCTTAGGGCCTTCTAGGCCTTCAGAGAAGCACTAATGATTTCTGGAAACTAAAACATGTCTGTATTTTTTTAGTTCATTTTTATTCAATAAAGTCATGTTTGTATTTAAGCTCTGCATGTATTACAGTACTGCTGTTTTTTGTGAAGCTCTGGACGGAAACAAAAAGGTTAAATTCCTGAAACACCCGATAGAAAACTGGCCAATCAGGAGTTGATTTTCTCAGTGGGATCTAGGTAGATATGGCTGAGTGAGCTCTCCTATAGGTTAGGACTTTAGGAGCTAAAGAGTTACATTAACTGTCAGCATAATTACGAAGTGACAGATGTATCAACCAATCACGTTTTGATTTTCAGTGAGCGTAATTCGAATAAGAAGTTAATTTTAGCCTCGTCAGAAAGTGTTAATGTGAATCGCCGTTAGCTTAGTGCTGACAAACTACTACACTCCTATGGGGATGCTAGCAGAAGTTAGCATTATTGTTGAGGTGTGTTTTTTCCTCATGATTTGACCTTGTTTTGACATTTTTGACCCAAATTGAAGGCCTCTGTCTAATAGTCATGGTTCAGCACTGCATATCAGTCTATGAACTGATAGACTCTGAAGTCCAGATCTAGATAGGATGCACAGTGTTTGCAATATAGGTCATCCTTATTGATAGTGACAACTAATGAAACAAGTTACTGAGAGTTCTGGCTTATAAAGCCCACTTGGCATTCATCTGACAAGGCGAGAGGGTTTTAAAATGTTGTAAAAAGCAATTTGATAAATGTGAATCAATGTTGGCACAGTACATTTTTTCTTCTCCAAAACCGATATCAATATTGAAACCCTGATTTGGCCGATACCGATACCGATGCTCCAATATTTTTTTTTTCTTTGAAGACTACTTAAAAGGATTTTCACTAACAGCACTTTATGCTGATATCAGCCCAATATCTGTAGTATCTCTTGAGAACTCACAAGTTTTAGAATATTTGATTTTGGCAGTTGAAGTATTTAAAAGTTGAGCATGTTTAGTTTTAGATCACAGGAATGTTGCATTATTTCTTTGCTTGACCAAAGAACATCGAACATCAAGCTTAGCGAGGTCACCTGTTTGCCAGAATAATGCATGTACTAGATGTGTAACGATTTCAATCCAGAAAATCATAAAAATGAGGAATCAAAACTGTAAAAACCGTTTAAAAAATTCCCTCTCTCACTCCCGAGGGCCTTTCATTATTCTTTTGTGGAAACCACTGTCAATGATCCATGATACGTATCTGGGTGCAGCCTATCAGAGTAAAGTGTAATTAAAAGTACTCTATTGCCTTGTGAACTGGGGTTAAGGAATCACTGGTCTGGTTTCATGTTTGTAAACAAAGCACAGTATTGTGTAGATTCTAGAGATGTAACGATTTACAAAACTCAATTCGATCCAGTGGTGTCAATAAGGAGTGGCTGAAAATGTGCCTTACCTTAAAGTGTCCATTTTCAGTTTGTTAGAGATTCAACATTTGTAAAAGTGTAATATTTAATAAAGAAGTTATTCTTCATTGTGTTCTAATTTAGCACTCTAGACACAAGCTAACATATTAGTCACCATACACAATACACTATATCATATACACGTATAATATTGGAATCTTGTCAGTACTCTGACAAAATTGCATAAAAAAATCTGCATCAGACAGATTTGACTGAAATATTAAGCTGATATTTGATTATGAGTTTATTGTTCTCTATTTCTCCGTAATACTAATGTTAATCCTGGTAGATGTAGTCCTAATTTTAGCATTTAATATTTATGGATTGACATTGGTATCAGCAGATATGTGAAATAAAAACTGGATGTCAGCATCATCCCTAAACTGTATGATATGAAAACTGCATTACAATTTGATAACATATGATGTGTTGTATTGTTACATCTGTAGTAGATTCCTCTCTGAATTTCATTGAAATTTCATCTGAAATGGGCCAGTTTTTTTCTTTCTTAATACCAAGTGTGACAAACTGTGGCCACTGGTAATGGCAAAGGACAAGTTCTCAGACGGTGATGGAAGATTTTGGATCAGTGGATCAGCTCCCAAACTGCATCCTGCTAAGACTTCCTGTAGGGTGTTTCACAAAGCAGGATTCCTCAGTCAGATGGATAGATAGATTCAGCTTTATTGTCATTGCTCAGTACAAGTACAAGGCAACAAAATGCAGTATAACAGGGAGTGTTGTCAGATAGGAGCGTCCATTAGCTCTCCTCTTTGGAAAGACGTGACTTTAAGCTTTGATCATATGGGTAACTGAGAAAGTCCTGCTTTGTTAAACACCCCCCGCTTTGCTAAGTTAAACTATCCCTAACGTGATTGGATGAACTGCTGAGCGAAGCAGATGGCATATGGGGACAGATATAAGTCCATCATGTTTACAGATGTTATTGAATAGTGTGAGTTAAGGTTGGTTAAGTATGTCACTGTGGGAGGTTCTGAAAGAATGTATAGCATTGCATGCCTAGATACTTGTTTGTATACATTTAGGATAGTGTGAATAGAGCTTTTGTGTACATGTTATAAGTGTTTACTAACACTATGCATTCGTGTGTGTGTGCAGTGCTCCGTTTCATGTGGTCAGGGCAAAGCTACTCGGCAGGTGCTGTGCGTGAACTTCAGTGACCAGGATCAGGTGGTGGACATGAGCGAGTGCGACCCCGACGATCGTCCTGCGACGGAGCAGGAGTGCAACATGGCCCAGTGTCCGTCTCGCTCCAGCGACCACGGGGGCTTCCCCCCCAGCCCGGATAGCCGTAAAAGAGTCCCGCCCAGCGGCCGGGCGGACCGAAACCGAGGCCGCCCGCACCAGTGGAGGACTGGACCATGGGGAGCGGTCAGTATTAAATCAGATTTTCAATACATGCGCAGAGTTGGAAGGATTAGTGAGACTGGGGGTCTCAATAGTGGTGCAAGTGTCCAGTTCTAGCCTGAGAAACACACAGGACTGCACAGAGTTAAGCTCTATTCTTTTGTCCATTTTTATAGATAACAGTATGTCATTCAGTGTGGTAACTACATAAACAAGTCTATTTGAGATTTCTAAACAACTCGAGGGAAGTGTATGATGATTTAGGCGTTCAGTTAGCACAATGCTAACTGGAGGGGTATAAGCTTCAGTTACTTAGCCTCATATATCCTGTAAAATTAAAGAAGCAAACTTTAAACACCAGACATGTTTTGGCTGATCAAATACATTTAGGGTTGTGGTCACCAACTCTGGAAGAACCTAATTCCAACCACAATCTGCCACACCTGCTCCAACTAATTACCTGCTTCCTAAGTCCCTGACTGGCTGGCGTAGATGCATTAGTGTGAATTAAGGGGTCCGGGCAGATTATTAGAACTTTGGTTGGAACTAAACTCTGCAGGAAAGTACATCTCCATGAGGAGGGCTGGTGACCACTGATGTAGGGTAGAAAGGACATTTTTATCCACAGTTGTCCTAAAAGCCCAGTGGGGAGCTTCACTATTTCTGTCTACCAGTGTTGTGTTTCCAGTCATGCTCGAATTTCCGTAGTGCTAACCAGACAATTTCTTCGATTCGTAAACACTGTCCATGCCCTGCGTGCTATGCATTCCATTCCATGCCAAAGAAGAAAGAAGGGAAACGAGTGTGGCTTGCAGCTTTAAAATATTCTTCGAAAAGACTCTATGTTTGCTCATAAAAACAGGATATATTGCAAATAGAACATATCTGAGCTTAGCCGTACCTTTTCACAAGGCAGCTGCTGTGAGGCTACAGGGCTTCCCCAGCCCTGCAACACACCAGCAACCCACGGTCTCACCCGCTCCACTTTCCCTCAGCAGTACACATGCATGCTGTTTACATTGGCTGAAGCTCTGACTTGGCTCTACCTCAGCATTCAAAAAAAGAAAGTCGCTGTGTTTGCTATACAGGTATTGCAAACCGTATGCCTCTGTGCTTTTATAGTTCCAAAGCTCTTTACTGTCTGTCAAAATACAGTCACCACAACTTTTTAAAATGTCGTTATTAACCGACCACCTACTATTTTTATACTATCTATTGAATTTCATTACAAAAGAACAAAAATACAGCAACATCCATTATTTTACTAGTTCAGAATGTAAACACTGTAACCAGAAACCTAAAATTGGCCTCGGCTACGAATCGCTGGAATAATTTAAGTTCAGGACCTGTTATCAGATTAACTAGCACACTGTTTTGGCTGTCTGGGTGAGAAATGTTGTGACTCCCTGTGAAAACCTCTCACACCTCTCCACAAAGATGGCCGTGCCAAAATAAAACAGACAGCTTTCTTGTTTATTAAAAATAATGTGTACAAAAAAGAGCCTTTAAACACAATAAAAGCACTTCTATAAATGTTGACTTGCTTGCTCACCTATGATGAATATTCAGTTCACTTCCAGTTTTGTAGATCATACAAATATATTCCGTCGACATTATTGAAGAATAAAAAGCAGTTGAACTGATGAACCTCCAAAACAGGCAGAATTTGCCTTGTATGGCTACTGTAAAAAAGAAGTAGCAAGTCCGACAAACTGGTGTTACCGCTGCAGTAGAAACAGAGGCTACGCTGGCAGGACGCAGCGAGTTAAACTGCTGCCATCGTTGCTTTAAGTTCCTAAAGTCTTCTTTAACATTTAGCATCTTAGCCGTGCGCTGTGGTGTTTTTAAGAGGCAACATGCAGCTGAGCTAATAGTCCCTTCATTTTTGGTAATTGTTGGAGTGTCAAACTCACTACAGTGAAGTCACTGAACTCTGGGATTATATTACTTCATGCTTTGAGGGTTTTTGCTCTATGTAACCTACCAGATGGAGTGAGTAGTATCAAGGCTTTGAAAACAGATCACTCAGAGATATTTTAGTTCAACATTGCATGCAAACGTTGTTTCGCTATTCTACATTTTTTCCACTGGACAGTAACAGGGCAGTGGCCGCATTACTAGAGAGACAGTGAGTCGTCAGCATTTCCTCTTTTCAGATAAAGACCATTGTCTCCTTTATAGTCCTTGACATCTGGATTTATAAATACTTGATTCGAAGGTATTCTTAGAAGCCAAAAGTAGCTTGTGCTCCCTCGGGGAGCTCCTGATTTCCTCTGCTAAGAGGATGCTGCGTGAGCTGGAATTAGAAAAGTTATTTTGGGTGATGTTTCTAGTGAGACTGATGTTTATATCTGGTGTCAAAGGATGTAGGTAAACATATAGGCTATTTCATTCTGATCTCTTCCTTTGGATAATCGCTTCATATCCAGGTTATATGATAAGAAGAACAGTGTGTAAATTCAAGAAGTTACTCAGTTGGGTTACTTTAGGTTATTTCAGGTGTCAATGTGAATCAATCACAAAATCAGACCAATGAATAAAACAACTCATATTTATATCGTTGTTGTCGGAAAAAAACCTTGTATCTCTATTTTTCGTTTTTCAGTTTTTGATATAACTTGAAAATGGCTGTTGTTCTTTACATTGTTTGAAATTTCATGATGAATGGACTAAAAGAAATGGCCCGAAATGACTTAGAAAAAGTCTGGTTCCATTGACTTACATTAAAAGTAAGGTAGGTTTTTCCCTTCTCCTGTAAAGTTACCGTTTTGAAGATACAAGGCTTTCTTCCGACAACAGTGATATATTTATTACATTAGTAACTAAGTAAGCTACTGATTTATTTTGCTGATTGAGTAATTGAATTTAAAAAAAAAATGGCCAATAACTGAACAATAATAAATTATTTTTTTTTAAGTTTTATAGTTTCTAAAATACAAAACACTACAAAAAAATATTTGAGATATTTGCTGACTTATCAGTGCATGTGTGTCTCACGTTTCTGCGTTACCCTCTACAGTGCTCGAGCACGTGTGCCGGTGGATTCCAGCGCCGTGTGGTGGTTTGCCAGGACGAGAACGGCTATCCTGCTAACAACTGTGATGAGAGCATCCAGCCTATAGAGCAGCGGTCTTGTGAGTCCGGACCCTGTCCACAGTGGGTGTACGGCAGCTGGAGCGAGGTATGACACACACACACACACATACATTCATAAAGAAATCACATCAATTTATTACTGTTTAGTCATCTGTAATCTTCAAAATTGTATCACAGCTTTGCTAGATTGGTCTAGGACTAGTTAGCCCAATAGCCATAATCTCACAAGCCTTTTGCAGACTCGAAAGCTAGTCGTAGGAAAGTCCAAGCTGAATTGTGAGTTGCAGTCAAGTTGCAGGTCAGTTAAGAGCAGGTCTGAATTATGAGTCACTTAATAAGAAGTTCGAGTTGAGTTGTGAGTCAGTTCAGAGCAAATCAGATTCGAGTTGTGAATCAGTTAAGGGCAAGTCTAAGTCAAATTCGAGCCAGTTAAAACAAGTCAGAGTCAAGTTAAGAGTCAGTTAAGAGCAAGTTCGAGTTCGAGTTGAGTTCCAAGTCAGATAGGGACGAGTCTAAGTCAAGTTGTGAGTCAGTTAAAGGGCAATTTCGAGTCGTGTTGCGAGGCAGTTAAGGGCAAGTCCAAAATGAGTTGTGAGTCAGTCAAGAGCTAGTCTAAGTTGAGTTGCAAGTCAGTTAAGGGCAAGTCAGAGTAAAGTTGCAAGTTAGTCTAAGAGCTAGTCTGAGTCAAGAGCACAAAGCAGTTAAGGGCAAGTCTGTGTCGAGTTGCAGTTCTTTCAAGAGCTACTTCGATTCAAGTTGAGAGTCAATCAAGAGCAAGAGCATCAGATTTGAGTTACGAATCAGTAGAAGTCCAAGTTGAGTTGTAAATCAGTCCACATGAAACGCAAGCGTGACTTGTGTCCTCCTAGTTGCCGACTCAAGTCAGCATCTCTTGGGTACATACAGTCTCCTGGTGTGTGTTTTGGTTTGAGGCTGACTTTGCTTTTTCATCCTGTCAGAAGTACATCTGACAGTTACATGAAGCTTTTCTCTACATGAAATAACTCCATACTTCTGTTTGCTGTTTGAACATACAGACACAGAAGCTAACCCTCTCTCTGTTTCATGTCTCTCTCCACCTCTCTGTCCAACTCTCTCATTTTCTTGTTCTGCATCTTTCAACTTGCTTCTCTCTCTCTCTCCCGCTCTCTCTCTCTCTGCAGTGTTCGAAGCCCTGCGGTGGGGGAATAAAGACGCGGCTGGTGGCCTGTCAGCGGCCCAACGGGGAGCGCTTTAACGACCTGAGCTGTGAAATTCTTGACAAACCGCCGGACCGAGAACAGTGCAACACGCAGTCCTGCTCGGCCAATCCGCACTGGAGCACGGACCCGTGGAGCTCGGTACGCCCGTAACCCTTCCCTCTTTTGTTCTTACCCCCCCTCCCTTTTACCACCCTTAATCTTCAGCACACACGGAGCTCACGCTAAAACCATAGCATGACAGAAGCCAAAAGAGCCGAATCAACTGATCTCTAAGTGTCTGATCTTTAAGCGTCAGAGTTGCTGCTTTAGCCTTTGGTGACTGCTCCTTAAAAACGTACCAAACCCTGAAAGACGTGCCAAGTAGTCAAGTAAAGCTTCGAGCGGACGCTTCCGCAGAAGGTTATTAAAAATTCAGGACGAAAAGAGTCTCTTAGAATCTAAAATTTTAGATCTAAAAGTTTGTAGTTAGTTCATTTTTCTAATTTATTATATAATAAATGCTGTTTTTTTCATGTGTACGACACACTAGAGCATTAATCACTGTCTTCCCTAATTCATAAATGTATGTAGCACATTTGCAGTTGGTGTATTTTATGTTTTTTTGTATATGAGGACTTTTCAAAGGGCTTTTTGGTGCCGGTCGTCATGGTAAACGTCCCACAAGCTGACAGCACAAAAGCTAACATGTTTTATCCAGTGTCTTACAACGAGACCATGATGAAAAGGCACCGAGAATTAGTGTTGTATAGTTTTTGTTTTTACTGAAGATGTATACATTAGTCGCATTTCTGTATTGGATCTTTTCTTTGTTTTTCATTTTCTGAGTGTTTTTAAACTGAGGCAGAAGTGTCTGCAGCAGTATTTCACATTGTCACCATCCTCTCTGGTGTGGGTTTCTTTTCCAAACCCACTTCATTTGAATATCTATGGCACATTTCACAAAAACCGGTGCTTAATATGTATGAATATGCTGGTTATTTCTTTTGTATCTTCTGTATTAGCTTGTAACTGGTTTGGGTCGCCGTAATTCACATGAACAATATGCTCTCTTGACTTTCTGCTCACAACCATACCTCAGCCAGCCATTAACGTATGAATTTTGTAATGGTGCTTTCTTGAAACAAGGGAGACTTTATCTAAGGATCCGTATATGTAGCGCTATAGGTTGTTTTTTATTTGTATATTTAAGATTACTTGAGGAACATATAGATTTAAGGCTTTACAATAATCATTTCATAGTTTAACGTTATTTTTTTATTATATTTTTTTAAACAGCTGTTTGGTTCCGTGGTCTATTTTCAGTCACTGTTAGTCGAAATTGATCTGTACACTATCGAAATTCTGTTTCTAGCCAAAGTTCGTTTATCGCAGAAAAATCAGCTACGGGGAGGCCGATTAGTTTGAAGTCCCAAGAACTCCTTCTCTTGGCCAGTCATCAGCGTCTACCTCATTCTCAATTAACCGTCCCCCCCTTCACTCCATCCCCCTTTCTCTGGCCTCCCCTCATCTGGATGGCCTTTTGTTAATCCCCTTTAAGATTCACATCATATCGTTATCTTAGCGTTTGGGACCAATCTCAGGTTTCATTTGAAACTTCTAACATGGCAAACGAATGAAAGCTAGTGAGGACGAGTAACATCAGCATAGTTTTTGCATAAGTATCGGCTTGTTGGCTCCCTTTAATATCCTCATCGAATTATTAGCTGCTTCTTTAGCATTTGGGACCAGTCTCTCAGGTGCAGATTAAAGAATTTCTTCATTTACAGTGCTAACAGTGAATGAAGGCTAGTAGGGATGAGCAGGCATGTTCACATCGGTGTCGTTTTCACTTCGGCGTAGCTGTTAGCTTTTTTATTCAAAAGCTATCCTTTATAATCATTCATTTACACCTACACTGCAAAAAAAATGAAGCTTGGCAAGTGAAACATCTTAATTGGACATAACTATCTAAATACAGCATTTATTATTTTATGCAGTATTGCATAAACTTATTATTTTGTATCCTTTTGCCTTTTCCTCCATCGTTGTTCTTTCACTACAATGCCCAGCATGCATTACTCAAATCTAAAAGCAAATACGTCATACATCCATTGGGAATCCTCACAACTGATGGCCAATCAATACAGATGGCTTCCTAGCAGTAACACTACCCACCTGCCTTCCTTCTCCATTGGCTAACAAAAAAAACAAACAAACAAAAAACATGTAAAACAACCTGCCCTCAAGTATTGGCCCCAAAGTGTTTGTAGTTGTCCAAAAGTTCCTCCCACCTTCAAGATACATCATGAGAAGGGGGTTTTCTAGTCTTTAAACCTGACAACAGATATAGTGGCTTTAATATATTTAGTACATTTAGTATAAGAAAACTAAACACTAAATAAGATTATTTTTCACTTGTTTTTAAGTCATTTTATCTAGCGAACGTTTAAGTGTCTTATCCTATTGGGAGCTAATTTTGCTCATTTCTTGAAACAAGTAAAATGACCTGCCAGTACAATAAAACACTTTCACTACATGACATTACTTACCAATTAAAAGAGTTAGAAACAGGTTGAATGATCTCGTAATATTCTTACAAAGAAGGGCCTGGGTTCGATTCCCCGACCGGGTGATCAGGGTCTTTTCTGGGTGGAGTCTGGTTGTTCTCCCCACGTCTGCGTCGGTTTCTTGCCACAGTCTAAAGACATGCAGTCAGGCCAATTGGAGATACTAAATTGCCCCTAGGTGTTTGTGTGTGAGTGTGTATGTCTGTGTGTCTGGCCTGTGATGGACTGGCGACCTGTCCAGGGTGTTTCCTGCAGCTTAGAAAATGTGTGTGTGAAATTAAACTATATTGCAATATAATATAATATAATATAATATAATATAATATAGTCGCTGTCCAAAGATTTTTTCTACATCATTTAAACTTAGCAGCTTCCCTTTACATTGTCTGAACATTTCATGATGAATGGTCCAATAGAAATTCTCCAAAATACATTAGAAGTCATGAACGTTTTTGCTTTTTCCTGAAAAGTTTTGTTTTTCTTTGGACAGCTTTGATATATTGACAAGATTTAAGATGTTTCACTTGCCAAGATATTGTTTTGCAATGTAGATATTAAAGCTTAAATGCAGCTTCTCAACTTAAGATCTTCGCATAAGTTATAAAAAGAAAAGCTATTCCTTAAAGCTAACTGGGTAGAAGTTCTACACAAAAATCCCAGAATAAATCAATATTCTTGCCATTTCCTCTGATTAGAACTACAACATGCTGATATTAAGTAGTCGTATCTCGAGTCGTATGCAAACGTCTGGGCGCCCCCTGTTCAACTTTCATGTTTTGTTACAACAACAACAGTATCTGACATGCTAGATTGCCAGTATGATTATAGTGGAAGAACATGACTGTGGAACATAAAATGTGGCCTGTGCAAAAGTAATGGCGCAATTTAAGTGATACATTTTCACTCACTAAATAAATAAAACTTTCACTTAGAAAATTGACAAAGCATGTAATTTATTTGGGGGTGTTCAAACTTTTGCATACAACAGTATGTGTGATCAGTTGTAGTTTCCAAATTTGAAGAGTACCAGGAGTTCGAGTGCCAGATGGTGCTTCCAATTCATATGGTTTCTATTTTTCATTTGGTCAGTGTCTAAAGGTTATTTCATGTAATTGGAACTCAATGCATTAGTGGACGCCACTCACAAAGACTCTAAGGTACTCCATGTGGACGGTGCTTAACACTGTCCACCAAGTTGTAAAGACTCAGAGAACGGTGTGATTGGAACCTGATGGCAGTATTAGACAAGGTCAAGTGTCAAATGACATGGGCATCTGTATATTTATGTAAGTATCTGTATTTATTTCTGCTGCTCAGTGTATTGAGTTTAATGTCCGTATTTAATTTTGTTTTTTGGTTGTTTTTTTTTATTATGGCAATGTTATTTGTTGGCAAAGGAAATTACACAAAGTAAAGGAGAGGTGTAAATTACATTTGTCATTTTCTTTTTTTTTTTGGGTTTGTTTAAGTTTTTGTGAAAATATTTTTTCAAGCATTGTATGCATAGGTATTAACGAAAGATTGATGTAGCTTATAGCTTGTTTCAGAGTGTTACGTTTTTTGTAACAACAATATTGTATATTAAAAGTACAAGTAAAGACAAAAATTGTGTGTCCATGCATGAAACAGACTGAAAGTAAAAACCTTTCTTTTACGGTGGACACTACGTCCATGCTTAAAGGTACTGTCACTGACATATCAAAGCCTCGTAACTTTTTTTTGTATTTATTTTACACTATTTAAAAAAACACCAGCTGCCTTTTACATTGTGAAACTATTTCATGATGAATGGGTCAAAAAGTCTCATTACATTGAAGGAAAATTTGCTTTGAGATGTTAACAAAGTGGTTCAGAGTGGTTTGATGTGAAATGGTTCATTGCAGAGAAACATAGCGACTGATTTCTTTACAGTGGTGGTGATAGGAACCAGGAGTCGAGACACCCACAACCCAAATACAGCCATTTTATTTAACATCAAAAATGACCAGTGAAACTAAACATGTTCTGTTTTCTTTGGGGATTGTTTTGCCCTGCAACGCCCTGCATCTACCTCTCCACCAAGAATTGATTTTAATAGTTTAAGGCCAAAATCGCAAAATGAAGCAGGCATTGGATGAATTGAATGTCCTCATAAACATTTATGTAATAACTTTCTGTGAGGGAGCTTTTAGATACATTACATGCTTCAGACGTCTGGTTCCTATCGTTACCACTGTGAACAATTGTAAATTTGTAAGGTGTTCTAAAATTACGTTTTAGGCCAAAAGCTTATCTTAAAATTATTGTAAGGCCTCAAACAACATTCATTACCTTTTCATGTGATAACTTTCTGTGAGGGAGCTTTTAGAGGCATTAAATGCTTCAGACATCTGGTTCCTATCGCCACCACTGTGAAAAATAAAAGTTTGTAAGGTGTTTTAAAAATACGTTTTAGGCCAAAGGCTTATTTAAAAACTATCATAAGGCCTCAAGCAACATATTCATAACCATTTCATGTAATAACTTTCAGTGAGGGAGCTTCAGACGTCTGGTTCCTATCACCACCACTGTGAACAATTCTGACTCTATGGCGCACTTCACATCATACCACTTTGAATGACTCTATACATTTTAAATGAGTGAATTCGCCTTAACTCCCCTTTTTTCTTCTAAAGCTACCATTTTGGAGATTCAAGGTTTTGTTACAACTGCTAGTTTTCTCGTATGACTATAATGGAAGGATATTGGTTTGGAGGTTTACTGTATGCAGTGCTGAATGAATGTTCACAATGTGCAAAATCACTCATTTGAAACAAAGTTTAACTGAAGCCTTTATTGACCACAACTTTGGTCAGTTCCAGAATGGAGAACATTTTCGTCAATTTTTTGTGCCTATTCGTTAATGTGGAGTGATGGCGGTGTGGCGCTGACAATCACTCCAGTGAGCACTGTCACAGAACAATGGCGGAGAGCGCAGGAGGGCACGCGGGGTCGGAGGTGGCCTTTGATCTGTAGGGGGGCCCCGTCCCGCGCTTCCTCACATGCATAATCGGGGTGGACGCACTTCTCAGAAAACGCTTGCCCGCTTTATGGGAAAACGATTGGCCCATCCACGGTGGCCCCCTCGCTCTTGATGTCTCTGTTATATTGATGCAGGGGATTGTCGGCCTTGGCGTTGGTATGTGGCGTGGACAAAAAAGCCCAAGCTTGCTGGACTGCTTACGAGCCGAATGGCTTAACTTAGCTTTTTTTAAGTTGTTTGGCTAGAGGTGAATAAACTTGGGAACGTTACGGCGATGCGTTCTAATATCATATGAACATCGTTATTCGACCTTTGTTTTTCTTTATTTTCATTGTTTTCATTACACCCCAGTGTTCAATATTGTACATACAGCTTGAAAATGACCTCATCCTTAATCACTTGCACAGAAAGGCAATGCATATGACCAAACAGTGTCTCAGGCCATCTGTCACGCAATAGTGCAGGGCTCTATTTCCAGTGCTCTGGGGTGGTTTATAGACGAGTAAGCCAAATGACTTTGACCTAGCACTGGAACAATGCTAAGGGCAGTAGTGGGTCATTTGTGTGGGGTAAATAGCTGGAGAGTTCATTTATAAGGTTCATAAAAGCTAAATAATGATCTGACATTTGAAAAGCCGCGGGGGGCTGGCGGCCTTCCTCGCTAAAACACCAGCAGCCCTTAAACATCACACATAAGTATGTGTGTCTTTGTGTATAATGCGCCCCAGTTATCTCAAATATGTAAATGGAGCATAGCTGCTTGTCATAAATATGCACTGTAAAGCTCAACTGGGTTTATACAAAACAATTATCCTGACTTATTGGTAATTTATAGCTTATATCCGTCTCAGTCAGACTCCTTCATTGTCTATACAAAAGCCTAGTTTGAATAGACTTGAAAATAGTGTGAATAGTTGTGTAGGGGAGAAGTTTCAGTGTGAGTTCAGTGATGCAGGGCATGTCCTAAATGGAAAAAGAAAAAGTTTGCTGCTGTGTTGCGTCAAAAAAATTAAAACAAGAAATGGAGATTCATTTTTTGTACTTTTCTTATTACTGTTTGTTTGGCTTTCAAGTAGCTGCATAAAATTGACACAAACATGCCATAAACCTGTCATGGAAGATGCCATATGCTGTCATGAGCTGTCACAACAGATTTTGTTTAGTGATATGACAGTGTCATAGTGGTAAATGTCGTGACAGAGGCCATAGTGTTTGATGCCGTAGTTTATCTCACATGCAAACTTTTGCTATGTACTCTAATCAACAGTAACAGTAATGACTGTTATATTACTGGACATAATCTACCATAACAACTTTTGAGAGCATGTTACATCTGCCATGGCATGTTAATGGCATGCTTATGTCAGTGTTATGTAGCGAGGTTCAAGTGGTATTGACTAGCGTGTGACATAGGTTTCAGGTTACCATTACATGCATTCGTCATAATAGATACGGCTTGTACATTATGTCATCTGTTATGACGACCGCATGTAACGGTAACCTAAAACCATCAAAAGAATAAAACTCATGACAGCATATGACTTCTGCCATGACATGTTTATGGCATGGTTATGTCAAGATAATACCTGGACTTATTAGCCTTGTAGCTGCAGTGAGCAATAGAGGCAAATGTTTTACCATTTCAGCAAACTGACCCAGTTGTTATGGTACATTTTTAATGTTTTGTTAAATTGACTGAACCATATGTACTGACCAATTAAAGCTCATTGATTCGCAAGACATTGGGTTACTAATGAAGACCTGCTTGCATGTGCTTGAGGGTCCCCTATTATTATTTGTAAAAATGCATGTAGAGCTTTTAAAAGTAAAAGCCCCCCACAGACACACACAAAAACACCTAGAATAGCGTGCATGACGTAATAAGACTCATAGACGGGGTTGTAGATAGATTTATTAGTCATTTGACCACAAAGAATTGTACAAGTGCTTTTTTTTGAAGTGGTTTTATTCATTTTTAATAACAGTCATTTCATTTTTGTGGCAAATATGTAAGATTCCTTAGCTGTTTTTATTTTTGTATTCTTTTCTATGTGTCTATATGTTTATTTCTACTCTGTATTTATTACTTTGGACGTTTCATTGCAACATGCTCAGAAAATGGGACATTGATCTGATATTAAAAGCCTTTTTTGTACTCGTTTCAAAACTGATCTGCATCAAAGCGAGCATTAAACAAATGCAGAACTGACATGATACCTGCGAACGTTCCTTTTCCGAATGTCCAAAAGGGCCCCCTTTTGGCTTCTATAAAGAGGTCAAAGTTCAGCTGGTTCCAGCTCTCCGTGCGCGGCCTGCTGTGCGGCGCACTCGTTCAACCCTAGACCTGTCGCATCGTATCCATCCTCGCATCGCACAGCCCTTTGATTAGCCGTTTGCTCCGGAGGCCCTGAGCCCTCCCCTCCCCTTTCCGCCTCCACCACGGCACGCAGAAGCCCTGCACAGGGGGGGTTTAGGCCCTTATACGCTCACTGAGGAGCCAGAAAGGCCTTGATGCTTTTTTTGGCTTAAATCGGATGATCTCTGAACCTCATGATTGCTTCTGGCCGCCTTCCATTTTCCATTTAAAGGCATTGGAAGTTGAAAGATAAGCTCGAGTTGTGTGGCTGTAAGGCGCAGTAGAACGTGCAATGTAGAATTTCTTTACTGACCTGTTGAAACTCCGGCCACTAAATGCGTTCTTTGGTAGCTACTGTGTCGAGGCTGGACTAGAACACTGGAAAAATCCCATTCAAGCTGATGAGAAGTTGTCACGCAATTGTCAAAATGTGCACATTTTTAGAGAGATATTAATTTGAAAGGACTTTTATTTTGTATGCATGTTAGGAATAAAGGTCTGATTGATGGGCCAACAAGAAAGTTCACTGACGTTACCTGTTTTAACACTGCTAGCACACTAATCCTCTACTTGACTTCAAGTATTTTGAATTTATTCATATAACTATATATATATATATATATATATATATATATATATATTGTTGTTTTGGTTCTGTTGTTGTATATGGCAGGTACGATGAGCTAAATGTTGTTTCAAACCCCTGTTGACATGTTGGCGTTAAAAATTGTGGACGTTAAATATTGTTCCGTGCCTCATAGTGGAAAACAGCGATGGTACGTGACTGAAGGCAGTATGCAGCCATGTCAAGGTTGTCATGGTGATAGCATTAAGCATAACAGTGCACTCATGTGTGAGGAAATGGTGCTAGTTACTTTTTTATTCTCAAAATGTTTTGAAAACATGCTAGCTGTTCTGATGGAGGTATGGATATGCCTGCAGTATAAGCATATAAGCGTTCAGTTTTCCAAAAAAAAACAAAAAAAAAACATCTAGTTTATTATAGCTGCGGCAGATGGGAAAAATTGGGAAAATTGAACTCTTGATGGAATGTTCCACCAATCATGGAACAGCTGCTGCCATTTCTGCTGGCAACGATAAAATTATTCATCATTGCTTCATTCAAAAACATGGAATTTGCCACCGTCCATCTATGGTGGTGATATAAATACAGCATTAGAGTAACTTCTGCCATGCTGTAGTCATTTGTGGTGTTATTTGTTTACAATGTTAACTTTATAAATGTTAAATAAAGTTTATAAAGTTCTAAAACAGCTGATGCTGGTGAACTTTCACATGCATACAAAGCAAATACCCATTGAAATTACTCTGTATATTTGGATAGTTTATGTGCTACAGTTTCTCTTTAGCTTAAATAGGAATGTTCTTTAAAGCTTATTAAATCTCGCAACAGTAGCTACGAATGATCACGTTTGTGGGCGGAGTTTGGAGAGTTCAATTAAGGAAGGATTCTGTCAGTGATTACCCGTTAATGCTTTAAGTATTCCATTTTCTATAAAGCCGAAAAAGACAAAAAATAATTAATAAATCAATTAGAAAACGCTGATTTGTGCTGGCTGAGTTCACGTTTGTCTCACGTGTGACCCACATTTCCCCTGCCAGGAACTGCCCAGTGTACCGCAGCAGTAATCTGACAGAGGGTACAGGACGAGCGTGAATAATTGCTTCTCTGTGTGACTTTTCCTCTCGCTCTTGTTCTTCCACGTAGTGCTCCGCCTCCTGCGGGAGAGGGTACAAGTACCGTAACGTGACCTGCGTCGGCCACTCCGGGGAGCCGGTCCCGGAGGAGAACTGCCGGCACCTGTCCCACCCCCAAAAGCAGAGGCGATGCAGAGGTGGGCGCTGTCCCAAGTGGAAGACGAGTGCCTGGGAAGAGGTAAATGTCAAGTGTGCACATTGGCATGCAAACACACATACTGTCTGCACTCATATTAAATCTAATAGGCTGTGGTCTCAACATTCTGGCCAAAGTGAAGAATGTAACCATCTCTATTGTAAACATGCTTACTTACATCCCACAGTGGTGCTGCAGTTGACTCTAGAGCTAGATTTTCCAGTTTAAAGACTAGCAAGGCCCCATCTGATAACTCAGAAACGTGGAAGGAGCTTTTGAAAAACTACCACTTTGAGTTCGATACTGAAGGACAGTCTGTTTGTATTTATTAACCTCTACATTGGTGGCTGTGCTGGCAGTCAGGGTTTCTTTATCACTGCAGAGGGAGACTCCCAATGGTTGTATGATGTATTTGCATACTGCATGCTGGGAATTGTAGTGTGAGAATATTGGTAGATGGAAACTAAAGGATACAAAATTGTGAATTCTGTCAAACCGGTGAGGCTGAGAGATGCAATAGTGAGTTACAGGACATTACATAACATGATTTATGATGATTTTCAAATTCACATACTTGACATTCATCATGTTCAGCAATAAAAAAGTCATATTTCTGAGACAGTACGTAATTTCAGTAGCGATAAAATTAATCAACTATTATCACAGGATTTCATCACAAAGATGGATAACGACAACAGTGATAAACATACGCAGTACAGTGTGATGTATTCTGATCTCACCATTCGCATTATAGTTGCTATGTATTGATTATGTATCCAGTTTAGGAGTACAGGACACTTTCAGTGTCTGATCTGAGTCACTTTCATAAGTCTTCCTAGATTGGATATGTATTTAAGTAACTTTCATATGTCCTCCTAGACTGGATTCACATCTGAGCCAATTTCATATGTCCTCTTAGACTGGATTCACATCTGAGCCACTTTCATATGTCCTCTCAGACTGGATTCACATCTGAGCCACTTTCATATGTCCTCCTAGATTGGATTCACATCTGAGCCACTTTCATATGTCCTCCTAGATTGGATTCACATCTGAGCCACTTTCATATGTCCTCCTAGACTGGATTCACATCTGAGCCACTTTCATATGTCCTCCTAGATTGGATTCACATCTGAGCCACTTTCATATGTCCTCCTAGACTGGATTTATATCTGAGTCACTTTCATATGACCTCCTCAACTGGCTTCACATCTGAGCTACTTTCATACGTCCACCTAGACTGGATTTATATCTAAGTCACTTTCATATTTCGTCTTAGATTGGATTTATATCTGAGTCACTTTCATATGTCCTCCTAGACTGGACTCACATCTGAGTCATTTTCATATGTCCTCCTAGACTGGATTCACATCTGAGTCACTTTCAAATGTGCTCCTTGATTGAATACATACCCAATATAGGAACACATTTGAAAATGACTCAGATCTAATTTGCAAAGATCAGATTCTGTGTTCACAGAACTCGGAAAAAAAGTTCTGTTTCAAATTTAGGCCCCGTTCACACTTGGTATCACCATCTCTCTCAAGTGACCTGATCGTAAGTGGACAGCGAGACGTGTAGCTGTTAGCACCTGGAATTTTCGCAAATGTTGAATGCGTCTCCAGTGATCACATGTAATCCAATTTTGTGACAGGAATAATGGGATCATTCACATTTACAGTGGTTGTCTTTCTGAATGAGTGGAAACTGTTTTCACAGTCTGGATTTGAAATGTATCGGGACACTTTAGCATTCACATTACAAGTTATGTGGTCATATGTGTCCCTGACCTCCTCTGAGGGTGGTGTGAATGATCGTATCTCAGACCTTTCATGTCTGTACTTACCACTGTCCACTTATGATTGGATCCCCCAAGACAGAAGATAATGCCAGGTGTGAAAAGGGTTTAAAAAATCCACTTTAACCCTGTATTGTGAACGTAGACGTAGACACACCAACAAGACATCAACTGTAGCTTTCAGTGTAGTGATATATAGCCCCTAGACGTATATGAGCATATGGGAGTGAGGTCAGTGCAGAAAGTCATGAATTTCTGAAATTTAAAGGTCCCTAGATGGCTAGAAAGCTTGATAAGCAATTCTTCTCATTGCAGAAGAGTGAATTATTGTGTACTTGATGTAACATATGAATATGATTTATTTCTGGTGTCTTCCCCAGTGGATGGGAGGTGTCTTCATGTGTGTTTGCATACTGCTCTACTGTCTATGCCGTTTTTTAAGATGAACTCCATCCTCTTCCTTCCCCTCGGCTTGTCACAATGGGGAACATCTGTAGGATCCTAAGAGAGAAAGGCAGAAAGTATTCACAGTATCACTCAATGTGCACCTTAACATCTGGAAAGCCCCCTCTCTCTCAGTACTGGGAACTCTCACACATCTGTTTCCCATACCTTAGAGGTATGTGTGCCTGTGTGTCTGCATGGTAAGCATCCCAGACAAGCTCTTCATACCTCAGGTCACATTATTATTGAGAGTAAGGCAGAGCAGATGTGCTTCAAAAGCTTCTTAATGTACGATGATGAATGTGGTCTCGATGTGCTTATGACACTAAAGCACCTTTATAAAGCTGTGCATCAATCACTCAGCAGGTGACACATCAGGTGATCTAGCCATGCTCTGTCTACAGATATGTTCTTTCATAGGTACTACTAGGTGGGACAAGCTTTACAGAGTCTTAATAGAACCTAATAAGACACTATAGCACACAATTCCAGTTCCCTTCCAACACAAATTCTATGGTATCTTTAGCTCATTTGTTTCTAGCTTTATCTGACTTATTGAAGCTTTTGAATGAAAATCACATTTTAAATAATATAATATTAAGTAACATAACATCTATTGCCCTGCGATGGACTGGCGACCTGTCCAGGGTGTATCCTGCCTTCCGCCCAATGACAGCTGGGATAGGCTTCAGCACCCCACCGCGACCCAGAAGGATAAGCGGTTTAGATGATGTATGTATGTATAACATCTATTGGTAATAATAATTATTTCACATCTTGTTTTGAAAGTTGCTGTAAGCACGCATTTGTGAGCTCCTGCTGGTGTGGGTTCATTGTTGTTTCTTCCTTTTAAATGATGCAGTGAAAGCAAAAGCTACTTGCATGATAATACTTGCTCCCCCTTGTGGAGAGACTTCAGGCTGCTAAACATGAGCGAGTGAGTTCCAAAGCCAGTGTTTTCAATCATTATAGTGGAAATGATCAGGAATTCAGCTGTACTACAAAGTATTACCCATTATTTTACAACTTAACTGAGTCATCCAGACACCAAAGCTGTATGAATATGACAGTATGTCACACGGTTCAAAACCCATGGTGGGTAATTTGTTCTACTGTAGCCCACAAGCTCATTAATAATTAATATTATTTAGCAAGCAGTCCTCTTTCCCAACACAGTGATTGTCGCCTGTTAACATCATCATCGAGTTACTGATGATGAGATGTCCAGTTACATCTCATTATCACTCAGGCCTGTTATTAATTAATACATCTTGTTTGGGGAAGGTTACACTATTAGAATGGATTGGTGGTACCGTTGTTGTTGCATAATGAAGAATTTTATGAATACATCTACCTGATAGGCTTAGCAGAAAGTTTGCTGGCTTCAAATGTTTTAATCTTGCTAGCTAGCTAAGTTATTCGCCTAGGCTGCATCTCTAGCTACTGTAGCATGGCTAAATAACTATATCGTGATTATGGCATATGTAACTATGTTGCCTTAGACTGTATAAATAAGGATTTGTCTTCAACAAAGCTACCTACAGCACTGTACTTTAGTCACGTTTTATCCATAACTTTGTGCACAAAATAAATAATGCTCTATATTTTTTGATTATTCTAAGATCCAGGCTAGATTTTTCACTATGTTGAATGGAGCTTTTGTCGACATTTTGTGATGTGTCCAACTTTGCAATACTACCTATGAAAGACAGCCTTTGCAACTGGACAAATATGTTGGTTAAGATTTTTATAAACCTTATTTTTGTGGACGTATTATAATATTAATAAAAGATTAAGTACATTCAGACTAAGGACATTTGAGAGTAAAATTTAGTGCGGTACACATCCAGTCAAATACATTTCCATCTCTCTCTTTCTCTCTCTCTCTCTCTCTCTCTCTGTCTCTCTCTCGATCTGTATGCTGACATGCCAGATCTGTCCAGATTGTGCCCAGATTGTACTAATTAAAGCGCTTTACAAGTGGTAGAACGGCATATAATGATCAACAGCTTCACAATTCTGTACCTTTCCCTCATAAAACCTCACCTATAAAACTGCACACTCATTAAGTAATGGAGCCGCACTTTAACACACAGCCTAAATGAAGAGCTTGCAGTCAAAACTGGATTAAATGCATGTCTTTAAAACATTTAGCTGTATATTACTTAAAGGAGTATTGCTGCCTAAAGCTAGTATCTACTATATTATTTTTCATGTAATGTAATTTTCTGTCGCACAGAATTGCATCCCTCAGCCTCATTTACAATTTTGTATCCATAAGGCATTTTCATCATTGTTGTCTCACTACAATACCCAGCATGCATTTGCATCAATATGTCCTACAGCCACTGAGAATCTTCCTCAGTAATAAATGCAGGCAAATGCATTAAAGGCTATTAAATACAGATGGGATAATCAGCCTCCTACCAGTAATATTAGCTACCTGGCATCCCTCAACATTAACCAAAAAACTATGATCCACCCCAAAGAGATTGTAGTTTTTCCAAACTTCCTCCCACCTTTAAGATACATCATGAGAAGGGGGTTTTCCCAGTCTTTCAACTGGAGAATCTCACTGTCAGGCTGTTGTGGCACCAGTTTAGTGGGCATGTTTGCAACAGATGTAACAATGGATAACTTTTCATTTTAGCCAGAGTGCCTCTTTAACTATAGCATATATGAAATTGGAAATACATTGAAAATATACTAGAAAATATGGTGACCACAGTTCTGAACCTGACCAGATTCTTTTTTTAAATTGTGACTAAAATTGATAGATTACTTCACCTTCAGGGTTTTA